GCTGATGGAAAGCAGTGTGCCTTTTTCCTTGGAAATCTTTAAATATAAAGACTCCTCAGAACAGATGTGTTAACCACAATCTGAAATGTCCTCTGGGAGAAACATGACATAAATTCACTAAATAATCTTTAAATCGTCTGCGATTGCTCAAGGCGAGGCAGATGTAATTGTTTGCATTGATAACTGAAGATCAAAGATTTTCATTGGCAACAACTTTGTGCAACTCAGGCTCTGGGTTTGTCCATATGGAGACGGCACCTTGCCAGCTTTAGGGTCAAAAATACATCTCCCATGTGGAGCGGCTTAAAAAGCGAACAAAAGAATGAGCTGTATGCCTCTTGCCAACTCTTTCAGACTGTTTCTATGAACAGTTATCAATAACAATACATACAAATGTAAAGTTAAACCACAGCAGCATTCATAGAGCTAGAAACAGTACAAGCAGAGGACTACCAATATAGAATGAATATTAATGTAAGAAGCAAATGCAACAAAACATTTTCCATTACTTCACATGTATTTTTGTTTGTTTTCTTGATGTAGCACGGTGATAGAGATCCAAAGCAATAAAGCTACAGCCTGTAAAACCAAAACAATGTGCTGAAAGAAGCTAAAGTGATCGTTAGGACACACACACACACACACACACACACACACACACACACACACACACACACACACACACACACACACACACACACACACACACACACACACACACACACACACACACACACACACACACACACACACACACACACACACACACACACACACACGCCCGAGCAGTTGGGTCTCATTCTGTGTTTATGCTGCACAGTAAACAGAGCATCCATTAAGCTGTAATGAGGTAGAAGAGGAACAGTAAAGAGGATGGCTGTGGATTAGGTATTGTTTCCATTTGAAAGTGAAAGCTTTGGGTCAAGAAATTAAACTTCATGTTTGAGACCTCAGAGCTTCTGCCTCACATGTGTGAAAGTCAAACCTTACTTCTTGTTCTGGAAATTCTGTCTCATATAAAAATAACAAATAATATGCACATGCATGTCTCTATTTTAATTACATGCGCTCTTTATTGATACTGTATGTGCTCATGAAAGCATGTATTAGAAAACCTGTTTGTGGATTCCAAGTTTTCATCATTACACGTCAAACTGCTGCTGCCCTCTCACTCTGTGGTCTCTCACGTCAACAGTGAGGAGCAACCAGCACAGACACACAGACACACAGACGCACAGACACACAGACACACAGACACACACACACACACACACACACACACACACACACACACAGACAGACGCACAGACGCACAGACACACACATATGCACAGACACACACACACACACACAGACAGACACACACAGACAGACACACACACACACACACACACACACAGACACACACACACACACACACACAGACAGACGCACAGACGCACAGACACACACAGATGCACAGACACACACACACACACACACAGACACACACAGACACACACACACACACACACACACACACACAGACAGACGCACAGACGCACACACACACAGATGCACAGACACACACACACACACACAGACAGACGCACAGACGCACAGACACACACAGATGCACAGACACACACACACACACACAGACACACACACACACACACACACACATATGCACAGACACACACACACACACACACAGACAGACACACACACACACACACACACACACACACACACACACACACACACACACACACACACACACACACACACACACAGACAGACACACACACACACACACTCACAGACGTACAGACACACACACAGACAGACACACACACACACACACACACACACACACACACACACACACAGACGCACAGACACACAGACAGACGCAAGGCAGAGCCAAAGCCTAAGAACACAAAGCGATTTATTGAGACTTGTTTGCATGAAAGGAATCAAAAAGCATTGCCTGTAGACAGCACACCAACATGTTTTCTCTTCTCTTGTGGTCGAGAGTTTTTACTATTTTCTAATTAGTTGCACACCCTTCCATTGGCTGCTGAGAGAGGACATGTGTTTGTCCTAAACAAAGCTGATGTGGCTGCTCAAGAATTTAACTCCTCATGGGACTAACAGAATGATGAACAGGTATATACATTTCTTAAACAGGAAGTTGTTACAATGCACAGCTATCACACATATACGTCTTTAAAAAAGATCCACAATCAATTAATTGTCAGAGATCTTACCTTTTCTGTGCCTGTCACAGATGGGAGCATCATAAAGTCTGTGTAAGGACTGTGACACTAACAGATCAGTGCATAAGTTACCACTTGCGCATGTGACTTAACACATTTTAACTTCCTGTTTGACAGAAGGAGTTGAAACACTTCTTCTTGTAACCCAGAGAGAAGTTACTATTTCTAATTTTGTTGTCATGTTGTCTTTCACATATTATGTTGATTAACTAGAGAGTCAAATCAAACCCGGAGATGCTGCTTTCAGGTTTTAAACACAAATATGTGGAACAAACTAACTCTGGGGGGAAAGCTTTTCACCCATTTATTGTCATCCTCCAGTTTATTTCTCTGTTTTTATGTATCTTTATTTTACTCTGTGCTTCTTTTAAAACTTGTATGAATGCTTCTTTTATGTCTAATAAAAGTTCTAAACCATGCATTGCCATCTTGTTGAAAGGTCCTCTACAAATAAACCAGCCTCTCCTTAACGAGCTCTAATCAATCAGTCTAACTGGAAACACCTGTGACTGTGCAGGGTCGTTAAACACACGGGTCAGTTGAGGTGATGCGGCATATAACTAAGTTACAACTTACAAGGTTGAGTGGAAGAAACTGGAAACCTCTAACGATACTGAGAGAGAGAGTGAGAGAGAGAGAAAGAGAGAGAGAGAGAGAGAGAGAGAGAGAGAGAGAGAGAGAGAGAGAATTTAAAGAAATTGTATTGGCATGAAGACAGAGCTGCCATAATGGACACAATACATTTATTTGCTAAAATAATGCAGCTTTATGATGCATTCATGTGGTTCGGGACATATCGGAAAATTGAGTTTCCGAGTTGTAAAATGCACATAAACACTGCTGAGGTCGGAACATTAACTCAGAAACTCTGGAAAGAATTAGGAGTCGAGCTTGCTGACTTGATGTAATATTCGTTATCACATGGGGGGTAAAATATGCTTTCTTGCTATTCAGATATTTTGTATTAATTCACGTATTGCACATAAACTTTTGATTGACATTCCACAGATCGTAGCATCCTTGTTGTTTTTTTTTTTGCTGTTGTTACAACATTACAAACTGAAAGCACACTAAAGTTGGAAGAACGACTTCCCAACTCGGAAACTCAGACAGTCCGAGGAGCACACGAATGCAGCATAATACAGTAGTCCTGGATACAGTTAAATCTATGTATACACTGAAAAAATAATAATAATAAAAAAAAAAGCCATCTAGTTGTTTGAACTTTAAAAAGTTATTGTCGGTGCTTCCTTAGTATCTTGGTACTTATTGCTTATTTTATTATTTCTATTCTATTTTATTTTAAGTTCTTAAATCTATTTCTATATTTCCTTTTGCTTTATTGTGTTTGAGAACAACTGTGTTAAAACCAAATTTCCACCTGGGATTAATCAAGTTGGTCAATCACTTTGGTCATGGCTGAACTAACCTGCAAACCAGGCAGACCAAAGCAGTAGCCACTGCTCGATGCTTTCACTTTGTTAGTGTCTTCTTACTTTAGTTCAACTTTTGGATAGTTGGAAAACAATAACATTTAAGTTATAGCAAAGTGACCCTCTATTTTTTAGTTACTATGACTTGTTTTTGCAGTTTACATAAAGGTTTACGATTTTTGTAGAAATTGTTCTAGAGAAAATCGTTGTCAATGCTTCAGTTTGTGTTGCTTTGGGTTCCTATTTCATTTTAGTGACTGAAGTATTAATATGTTGAGTACATTTATACTAATGAGGTTAGGAAAAACTCATGTATACTTCTTCTCATAGTTGACGTGGCTGCAGAGAGAAAGACGCTGATAATAAAAGCAACACTATTAGTAGACAGTAGCTGCATTCAGACTCGTGTGTGGTCTAAAACATCAGAGCATAAATTAGTAACTGTGCTTAAGTGCAACCCCACTATCACTTCCAGTGTGTGTGTGGGAGTGTGTGTGTGTGTGTGTGTGTGTGTGTGTGTGTGTGTGTGTGTGTGTGTGTGGGGGGGGGGGGGTGCATGTGCGAGTACATAAAAGTATCAGCACATCGAGAACTCCTTGTGTCAAAATATTTCTACACTTCTAAGTATATAAGCATTTCTGGAAATGACAATGAACTACTGCTGAAAAAGTGTTCTTTCTCACTTATTCTGTTGTTGTGTCTCTGAGTGAGAGTTTGCATGACTGCCCTTTTATAACGAAAATGACAAGAGGGGGAAACGTTTAAATGTTTTTAATGTGAGTTTAAGCTTTGATCAAAGCCATGTGGGTCAGGGAGGGGAAATTAGAGGGGTGATAAACTGTAATGAAGTTTACATTTTACAAGAGATGCGGTTTTTGGCTCAAACTTTACAACATCACAGAGTTGTGTTTTGAAGTCCAACCATTGCATCCTAATGCAGTTATACAGAGGACATCAAAGCTTTGGCGCCATATAAAGTTTTGACTTTAGTCCCAGTATGTAAATCGTTGATACGTTGATCCAATCTTTTTAAAAACCTTTAAACTAAATTTTGAACCATTTTGGAGCATGTCATGAAGTTTTGGTGTGAGTGCACACTCATGAATGACCCTCTGGAGTGTGAGAATAAAAATAACATAAGAAAAGTCCAAATATCTACCACATGCAAAGCTTCTATGGAAGTGCAGTGAATCGGCAGAGTGGTATGTCCGGGAAAGCTACGGGTTAATTTAAAACTAGGAGCAAAGCCTGTTGCCAATTAGGAGCAGTGAGCGCCACATGTGGGCTAGACGGAGCTCTCTCCAGAAGGGCAAAGGGGGCAGAAACCGCGGCGCGCACGATGGAGACAAGCTGAATGTCTAAGCTTTCAGCAGTATTAGCTTAATGGGAATTACATCCTCGGAAAATAACTTTAAAAAAAAATGTTTTTTGCTTTTCATTAAAGGGATGACCAACCAACAACTGCTGGACTGAAGGATTAAATCGCCTAAAAGGCCACTATTCCGTCGTGGCCTGTTACCAATTAAACCTCCAGCATTGCAACATGGCACATTTCTATACCATATTTTTACTCTGTATAACATCTGTACTCGGTGGAGCAGGGAGCGTACCTGAGCCCTGCCATAGCTCGCGCTGCTTTCCTGCACAAGACTTGAGGAGACCGTGCGTCGGTGCGCACTGCCAGAGGCGCACGGAGCCAGTAGCGTCCAGACGGCAGTTTACCCACTCTGCACAATCTAGACAAGGACAAGTTTACCCGAGTTACCAACAGGATGCTCGTTTCAGTCATCACCAAGCCCAGAGCGCACCGTTAGCACCCTACGCCATCATCCAACCTCAGCAAGGAGGCTTCACGCAACAAGCGGAAACAGATGGCGTCAGAAGAACGAACTCGAGGACCATCACAGCGGAGGTTTTCCATCCTGGCTGCGCGGGGGGGACCTGTCCGACCACTGTGTCCCATCGCCAGACCAGTGATGATGGCGCAACGCGGGAGTGCAAAGGGATTGGATGTAAACTTCCCTCCATGATGCGCCAGAAGTCCAAGACGAGTGTCGGAGACGGTTTCGGAGCGCATGGCGGAGACTATGGGAGAGAAAACTCTTCTCCGGTTCATGTGACGGACAGGGCCGCGCAATTTCTGGATGAGCTGCCAGATTTTGGGTCCGAACGCGGTGCGTGGATCCAGCTGACATGTGATATGAAACCAGGTCAGTATCTCCATGAGAGAGTATAGCAAAAAAGAAAAAGTTACAGGCCTACGCATTCTTATTTCTGCAATCTGCACCATACTGAATAAGAAAATATGAATCCCTTAAATTGCTTCATAATTCTGTCTTTCCTGCAGGGAACAATGAGGTCCCCTCAGAAGACGCTCTGGTACTGCAGCTGCAGCTGTCAAAGAGCCAGGAAAAGCTGGTTGAGGCCCTCAGGGGCCAACAGGACGAAGTCAAAGAGCTGCAGAGGCTTCTCAGTGAGCAGCAGGGGGCGCTGGTCAGCCAGCAGAGGGAGATACTAGAGCAACAGAGGAGGATGTATGAACAGATGGAGCAAGTAAGGCTGTTGTGATTGATGCTGGGGATTAATAACGATAATGATTTTTAATGGACCAGTTGATGGTTTTGTTATTGGCCAGTGATTAGAGAAACCTTAAACCTTTATTCAGAGGAGATGGATGAAAAACGCATGAACTAGAGAAGTTTTATTGTGTGAGATGGTCCTGTGTGCTGACCTCCATATGGAGCATCTGTTCTGTATGGACATCAGAGAAAAGGATTTTTGATCATCCATCACATTAAAATCAGCTCAACTTTACGCAAAACTGACTGATAAGAACCGCCACAACAATCATGCATTTATTGTTTATTTTGTTTTTATGTATCAAATCTAATACTGATTATTTTCATGATCCCACTAAAAGAATGTTATTTAATGTGTTTTACCTCTAGGTAAAAGCCCAGTACAGCATACTGATGGATGGCATCAAACAAACGTCTTTCCAGAACCTGCAAGGGGAACTGGACACTCACATGGAGAGCATGAGTAGGCAGGTCAGACCCCACCAAGCAAAGCAGGCTCTGTCTCTGCACAAGGTGGACATGGATGCCAGTGTGATGGAGGTGAGCTGCAATCAGGGGGTGGAAGAAGTCTGACTATCAATAATTTGTGAATCACAAGGTGATGCTATCTCAAATACCCAACAAATATAAAAAACTGTGGTACCAAATTCAAAATTATGTGCTTGTACTTTTTTAGTACTTTTTTTCCAACTTCTGCTTTGCTTTCTACTCCACAACATAACCTAAATTCTTACCACTTTTCAGATTAAGATTCATAATATCTATTATCAACAAATATTTATTGTAATCCAATAATGTAAAATACATTTTGAAATTCGCAATACTGTATAGTCACTGTATTGTTTTTCAAGCATATCATGATTCCTAAACTTTTGAATATCAGACAAGAAAAGTTTTGAATGTAGGAATTTTAATATTAAGAGTGTTTTTGCTAAATTAAAGTGGAGTTTCCTTGAAACATCCAGCAGAGGGTGTATTTTTTCTTATAGTGGCCCATAGTAACTCTAAAAGAAACCCACAGATTGTGATGAATCTTAACAGCTTGCAAGCTTCATGTAAATCTTTGGGGAGGGGCATAAACGTTTTTGAATGTGTTTTGCTGGACCGATGATTGATCAACAAATGATTTATCTTTTCAGAAAATGGCTTACTCTAAATTCTAAATTATCTCTCATTTCATTCAGAATCCCCACAAAGTGACATATTTTGTCTCTGAAGGGGCAGACACTACATTTTAGGTCAAATTTAAAAAAAACACATCTAGGATGATTTTTATATAATTGGTATGTAAAAAGTTGTTACATTCATACCCGCATGAACTTTCATTAAAATTTCTGATCAAAAATATTAGTATATTCTAAATTGACATGACAAGCAAATAATGATGTACAAACCCGAGTTACTAGTTAGTTTTAGTCAATCTCTCATCATTACACTCACATTTTTTATACCATCAGGTGGATCACTCCATGTTGGCCTGTGGGACATGTAGTCCTGACGAGTACTGTGGCTTCAGCAGCGGTCAGCCTCACTGTGAGAAATGTACTATCTGCCCTGCTGGCTTCTTCCTGGTTGCCCAGTGTTCAGTCCACGCGGACAGAATCTGCCAGGTGAGCTCCAATACAGTTTTACAATATATCGGTTTATAAGCAGTTAGCTGCATTATTTGATGACTTGGAAGTGAAAACTTTGTGTGCAGAAACCCAAACAGTGTTCTAAAAGATGCTGAAACTAACATGGCTGAAGAGTTTGGTGGCTCTTTGTGATGACCACTATTACCAATTCCTTTTACATAGAAGTTGTAGTAAAATACTAGTTAAACTTGCTTTAAAATCAATTCAAGAGTTTTTTTGTATTTGTCATTACAGGACAGAGATGAATGCCTTGAACTATCTGATCTGTGTGGAGATCATCAGAGGTGTCAAAATACTCCAGGTGACAAGAAGCACTGAGAACTTTTAACTTCACTGGATTGCCAATTATCTAAAACAAATCTTATCATTTCCTACACTCCAACATTTTCCATTGATTTAATTGCTGATAAATGATTTAGTCATAGACAATGCATTCAGGTATTGAAAAAATATCCAAACTAACCCAGATTCCCTGTCCTCAGGTGGATTCAGGTGTCAGGGCTTGACAGAACGAGATGCCAACTCAGGAATGTGCGGACACGGCTACTTCTACAACTCTGAGATGGAAGAGTGTCAGGCATGTAACGAGTGTGATGGAGAGCCCATCGCCTCACCTTGTACCTTCACTACAGACACTCTTTGCTCTGGCCCTGCTGCAGGTGATAGCGCCCTCTCTCTGTCTTGGGCTGGAGATGTGAGTCTGCATGGTGCAAAGGGTAACGTCCTAGCTCATGCCTTCCCCAGTGTGCAGCTTCACGTCCAGGGAAGAGGTGCTGCAGGTCTTGTGTCGGCTGAGGACGGGCGGCTGGTACTACGGCAGCACGGTTTGGTCTGGCTGGATGAGAATCTTTCAGTGAGCCATGGATGTCGTAGCTTCATCCAGGTGTGTCTGCGTTTGAACAACACGGATGGTCCTGAAGGTCGCGACCTTAGTGGCGTTAGGATCGAGCAGCGAGAGGGACGGTCACTCCAGAGCGCCAGCATCAGTGGAGTCGCAGAAGTCGCCCCTGGTTACGTGATCTCTGTCCTTCTCCGGAGCGCAAGCCAACACTGTAACCAAAGCAGTGAAGGTCTAAAGCTGTACGACCAATCAGCTGCTTCATTCAGTCTCTTTTGGCTATCTCACGACACAGGGGCTGTTGCTATGACAGCACAGGCCACAGTGTCTGCACATTACCACACAAACTATCGCCCAACCTTTCGCACCACCTCCACCTCTGATCCTTACGTTGTTGGGCTGACTCATGATGGTCGTGGGATCCGTTTTGCAGAAAGTGGTACAGTGCGTTTTGTCTTTCAGCAAGCGTTGTACTCAATGGGTCAGGCATGTGTTAATGAGGGCTTCCAACTGTTGGCATACCTCAACCGTAATGGAACCGGCATGGAGCTATGTCGCTCCTTCAAATCAGGCGTCCACTATCGAGACATGTCTGTATCCCTGTCTGGAGCGGCTAAAGTTGAACCTGGAGATGCCTTGGGCTTTGAGATCCTTTCTCCTGCTCAGTGCAATGTACGTTTCTTTGGCGATGAAACGGGCATCAGTGTCCTCAGCTTGGTTTGGGTCCCCGCTGCTATCTCTTCCTTCATGTCTGCCTCTGTGGCTCACATTGGCCTTCCTTCAGGAGCAGTCCGAAACAAGCCGCTGTTCTTCCGCCAGACCAGCCTTCAGGTTTCCCAGATGGGGCTACTCGCCAGAGGATCCACCGATCAGAGACGAGATTTTGCCTTCAAGGAGAGTGGAACAGCCAGTGTGGCTTTGGATCTCAAACTCATTCACTCCTGCAATCTTGTTAAGGTGACTCTTCTACAACGAAGTGATACAGATGGGTCAGGAGGAGGCCGGGATGCCGATGTGGTACGACCAATCCCTCTGGCCCAGCAGGTTAGTGGTCAGATGTCCGAAGGCAGCCATTGGGCCAGTTTAAGCCTGCGTGCTTCCTTCCAGGTTCACAATGGCACAGCGGTGTTCTTCACCCTGGACTGCGTGCGCGGACGGGTCAACCAGATCAGCCACCAGACAGGAAGTGGAGTGTCAATCCTCTGGGTTGCAGCATAACAAAACAGAGACAAAACTTTACCCTTTTATCTTTTTTATTTTTGACTTCCATTTAGATCAAAAGTTAAGCCTTTTATGTGATGGACTCGATGCATTGGTTTCATTTCAAAGGAAAAGTTGGACGATTTGGGAAAGATGCTAGTTTGCTTTTCTTGCAAAGAGTTACACTAAATTCTACCAGAAAGCAACGCAATCGAGACTAACCTTCTCCATGTGTAGGCCAACAAGTTGAGCTCCTGGCTTGAATCCCAAACCACACACCATTAACTCTGGATTTTTGCAAGCTTCATTGGCAGAGGGAGAAATCACAGGAAACAACAAAAAATCCTATTCACAGCTTTGACTGTGAAATCGCTCAAGTATATCTGGACAACAGTTAGCACTTCATTCTTAATGGTTCACAATACTTGATGTGTATTTGGAAGAGCATTCGACAAGAAGATTGATAGCAGATGCAAATCTCTGTAATATATTAAGTGAGCCAGTAGTCTATTAGTTTAGCTTAGCATAAAGACTGACAGCTAGCATGGTTCTGTCCAATGGTAACAAAATGTATTTATTAGTGACTTTAGAGCAAACTACATATCTATTTAAACCGTACAAAAAGTGAAGCCTTTTGTGCTAAGCTAGGCTAATGGATATGTACCATATTAGAGTGGTACTGATCTGCGTGTGTAGTTTATCATCAGTCAATAAGCAATTTTCCAAATATATATTTTATATATTTCTTTATTCTTTGAGCTGCTTGATTTTAGTTTGTGTAGCTTTGAGATAAGATTACTTTTTTTTAATTCATTTTATTGAAAAAACAAAAAAAAGCCTTTATTTTAAAAAAATGTAGCATTATACATCCCTCTCTGTATTATACCAATACAGGCATTATAATTGTTTTGTGATTTCTAAAGTAAAGATTATGACGGTTCTAAAAAACTATGCTCACAGTCTAATACTGCAAGTCAGATTCAATTTTAAATATAGTCTAGTTTTCTGCCTTTTTAAGTATAGAAATTTAACTTGCTTTGTTTTTAATTTATGTAATTCAGTAAGCTTGTTGACACTGAAGGACCTTCTCAATAATACTTCCTGCTGTCACTAAAACTCTTATTGCTTTCGTTCAGGAGTGTGTTTTGTAAGAGCATGTGTTTCATGTTACCCGCCATTTTCTAATGTGAATATTTACTGCATGCTGTGTTAAAGGATCACTTCCTGCATATTATGGCCTAAATGTCATGTGATTAATTTAGGTCCTGTTGTAATTATACTGTCCTGAAGAGAATATAGATCGACACCTTAGCACAGTTACTTATGACTGATACTGTAATAAGATGTATATTTGATGTTTTTCATTAAATCTGATGACAACAGAGCTGTTTATTTAATTTTTATTTAATTTTTTTTATTCTTAAACACTCAAGTCAACAGCCTTACTTGGTCTGGTATATCCAGTGGCTGACAGTGTAGTGGCTCTTGTTAGCTTATTTAAGCTAAATAAATTTTGACTTAAATTAATGATAGCAAACTTTTGAATACGGATGTGTAACATCAGTGGTAGCATTTCACATTATGTTTTAGCAATAGTAGTAACTGGGATATAGCTGGTAGTAAACTAAGATTTGCTCCAAATAGACAGGGCGGCCATTTTCCTATATTAAAGTCAAGTGGGAAGCTAGTGATGTCTTGCTGTTGTGTTTCAGGTCTCAAGTACATTGTGCTCGTTAGCTCTGGTTAGCATTCAACCAAAACCGTATAGTAGCCAGACTTTCCTTATATAATATCTAACACGTTCAAAAAGGTTTTCACCAAGAAGTGAATGCATTTTAATGTTTAAAAACATTTGATCATCAAATTTGTCACTGTCACTCTGGGTTTAATAATCATATTTGAGGTGCATTGAGAAGTTGAAGTGTTTTTACATTTTACAACACAGACTCCAGCAGTACATTTTACCCATTTGAAAGCAACGGTTTTATAAATTGTGAGGGAAATCCTGGCATATTTCCAGCTAAACATCATATTAGAAAACGAATTAGGTCATGTTGGACAATGCTTATGTTAGCAGTCACCCGTATTTACCAAGTATGTCTTGTGCTGATGATTGTGTGTGTTTAAAAGGAGGCTGACTCACTCACTGCATAAATAAAGTTACCTATCCAAAACCAAGTTAAATAATAATTTTAAAAAACCTACCCAAGTTAACACTAGCATCTCTGAAAGCTTAGAGTTTGTTTCTCTGTGTAACACCATCAAAGAGAAATTTTATTTACCAAGTGGTTGAATGCTAACGTCAGCGGTTAAGTTGGAAAAAATTAAACGTGTTATGCTGGCCCTCCAGATTTCTATTGCCAATTTTCTTTTGGGTGTGATGATAATTTTAGCAGATTCCATACGTGTATATGAAGTTACACAGAAGTTGGACATAATCCTGAAAAAAAACACACATTGTAGGTCCCATCATGAGTGCTATGACGTCCGAGGGAAATGGCCACCATTTGATAAAGGTAAATTACGCTATAGATGCTAGCAAGCATCCGCAGCTAGACCAAAACATTAAGAATATTTTTGAAACCTTGTGTTTTTTGTATGATTTACTTTCCGATAGGCTACATCAATTCACAACCACTTGCAAATACACAACTTCACAGATTGTGTCTGTGTTTTGTGAATGTAAGGTTTCTTTCCAAATCTATTATCAGGAGCATGTAGAGACTGATAATGTTGGATGTCAAAAAGCTATCATGAGCTTTACTGTGCTGCAGTAGCTGCCAGGTGTTACCTATTATACATCAAAGAACAAGGGACCTTTATCATGAATTTAAACAGTTCATATTATATTAGTCGGGTAGTTAACCTCCTAATGGCCTTCTTATAGAGGTCCAGTGCCTCTCAGTCCCAGAGTGCTGCTCTGCCTTGGAACAAGATCAAAAGCATGTAACGATCTTCTGCATATGTTCTATGAAAACCTGTGGACCACTTGATGTTATTATTTCAACCTTTGAAGTCAAGACCTCCTGCTCAGTGTGTGTCAAAGATTATTCAATAAATCAAGACTTAGGAGATTAGTGCCCTTATTATGCGGGGTTCTCTCTTAGAAGTGCTGGTACGGAGTGTCTAGAATCATAGAGTGCCGACTCAGGCATTTCTCACTTAAGTTATTTTTTTCTGTACAGGTCAGGGTTGCTTGACCAAAAGGAAACTATGATTAAAGCATGTGCAGCACAGTTCATGAACTAGTCCTAAATCTTTCGCACAAGTGTTGTCAGACAATAACCAGAAGAGCTCAGACTATAACCAGACCAGAGTTGACAAACAGAGCAGGGAAAAAGCATATTGGGACAAATTGAAAACACTCCAGGCTGATGGATGGCTGGCTGGGTGAGTTATGGTGGTCTGAGGATGATAAACGTTAAAGGAAAGAGGTCAGAGCCCCACAGTATGGAAAGTGGAGCTGTGTCTGGAAGTAGTACTTGCCCTTACACATTAGCACTCTGTATAATAGAGTACAGATGTAGGGAGAGTGTGTAGATATGAGTGTTTCTTAAAACACTGCACAAGTTTGAAGGCATGCATGTATGTTGGCTTTGAGGATTTTCTCAGTACATTTTTAAAACTCATGCCTTTGGATGTCCTACAAAAGCAAATGAGACCATCAGTAAGACCATTGATTATTTCTACGTAGTGGTTTTTATGCCTGGCACACTGACACCGTGTCAATCAAGAGGATAAAGAGCGTTCTGCCGAAAACAACCTGTTTGTTTGATTTTTACTATTTTTGGGAAAAGTTTAAAAGTGAATAATACCTTTGATAATTAAAAGCAGGGGCTGCAGGTCAACCCTAACCCTTATTTGATCAGAGTTCAAGAGGGCCAGCCTTGAAATCTGATTGACACCCAAATCCTAGACTAGGATTGGTTATTTGTCTTGTCAGAGGCGGGACTTATGTTAAAATCAACATAAATCAGTACCTCAGTTGATCCACAGTAGTCCAAAAAGTCTGGACACACCCTTGGTTAAAAAGCGGTAAACAGTGGGATATAATCTATAAGAGGATAACACAAGCATTTATAGATTAGACGAGAAATAAGATGTTCTGTTTGTCCACAGGGGTTACTAAACCCGGGATGATAAAGAACCCTGAACACACACTTACACACTAATAAATGTCCCACAGCCAGTCTTAAGAAATGAATTATTCGATGTAAAAAAAGATTGATTTCAACTTTACATTGAGACAACTGTTTCTCAAAGCTGAGTCTCACACATTATACTTGTGTTCATACACTTCATTGAATCTACATCTCCACCTTTGTCTGATTTATTCAGACACATGTGCTGATCTCTTCAGCCAGAGAAGCTGCCAGAGTGTGAGTGTAGTATGAGGTGGACGGTTGAGCCGCTGGGATACATATGGTGCACAGGCTGTATAGGTAGCAAGAATGTGCAGAAAACAGGTGTCCTCCAAACTTTGCCCTTAATACTGAAACAACCAGAACTTCAAGGGAAAAGAAGTAGAGAGAAAAGACACCGAGAGGGAGAATTGAGATAAAAAAAAGAACGCTGTGGGAAAGAAGCTAACAGCGGGACAGAAAGTGAGAAATCAGCTGCTTGTGGGTCTGTGCATCTGGAAGCATTTCTCACTTGTTTTGAACTTTCAGCCTGCTCTGTCTCTTAACTCAGCCGGGGCGTCAAAATATTTCTGTGCTCTTTTGCAAATGACAAAGAAAATTTGGGGAAGATTTGGTCAAGAAAGAAATTCTGGCATCATACACCAAAACAAACACTCAGAAATAAAAAGCAAAAGAGGTAAATAATGTAAGTATGTTCAAACACACAATAGGTCACAAATGTTAAACATTATCAAGTTTAACATCATATCAGTTATCTTTCTTGTTCGTCTTATTCTACTGAAATGACGAAAAAGAGGTGCAGCACTGCCCTCTACAGGACAGACAGATAACACATCACAGAGCATTTTTTGTTAGAGTTCAAATTTATCACAGCATACATATGCAACATATATTTAATGCCAACAGGTTAACAATAACTTCCTTCATATATTTAGAGTATTTATTTACTATTTGACAACACAAACATACATGATATTTATTAATATAAGGGTAACATTGGTTTGAAATTAAACTAGTTCAGATATGATTCATGAATGCAGAGTGTGTGTCATTTATCTGTGATTGTAGTTCAGAGGTTAAAGAGCAAGATTTTTTAAATATAACTGTCATCATCAGGGCTGTTAAACTCATTTAATCACTCACAATGCCGTTACACTGAATTACCCTGCTGAGATTAATAAAGTCATCTGACTCTGTAACAATTAAATATTTTAATCTCAATTAATCGCTGATTTTCAGTACATTAGAATCAGGTTTTTAATTGCATGTTTGAAATTCAATTATTTGTTTGCGTTTCAAAACAGGTTTTATGCTTTAATTTTGGATTTTTGTATGGTCCTAAGATAAGGTAATCAACGTCCTGTTCGGATACAACCCTGTTTTTATTTTGAAATAAATGAAGAAGTGCCGGTAGAGGATGAAGCGGATGCAAAATAGTGGAATGTTTGATGTCTTGAGGTTGATACACCTTTTGACTCGTTACCTGTGCTGTCTGTGCGTTTTTAAATAGTCAAATGAGACTTTTTTGAAGTCATTCAAAGACGCAGCGTGCCGGGGCGTTCTTTTCCATCACTGTGACTACAGAGACACGCTGGGGTGGCTTACCTATAGTGCACCTAAAGGGACAAAATAGCATGTGGCTAATGCCCAAGTAGTCACTTGAGTTTAATTCATCATGATCTAAAAGTTTTACAAAATCATTATGAAAATTGTGTTTCTGAGAGTACGTCAATGTAATGGTTGAGTGACTTCAGGAGAACAGCAGCTATGTTTTAAAAAAGTGTGAATGTGAAAGGCAGCACGTTAGCTGTGACTTGTAATAAGACCAAACACCGTCTGAGTTAAAAATCCCTTAGGACTATGAAAGGGATGTGACTATAAAAAAACAATACTTTGTATTTAAAGACTTATATTTAACACAATTCAATTGAAGTGATGATTCAGCACTGAAGTGGTGCAGCAAAAAGGAAACTGCATCGTTATCATTTTATGAAAGGTATTTTTGAGGCCAAGAGTGGTGGAGTTAATTGATGTTAAGATAAATAAATAAAGTGATAAACATAAGAGGCTACACATGTTGAGAAACAGAGGCCTCACAGTGGTATCAATTCCATTTGGATGAGTAATACTTGGCACAGCTATGTATTTAAAGACTGTAAATGTAAAATCACCATGTGTAAAATATGGTTATATAGTACTTAGATGTTTTTGGTTCATGCTGCAGAGAGAACTGAGAGAGAGATGAAGATGTGAGAGGACTGATAGAAAGACGTCCACAAAGGGAATGATGTCACAGAGTAAAAGGGGAATAATGAGGAGGAGGGGGATGAAGGATAATTGGCTGCAGAATGTGTAATGTTGGTTAAATAAGGCCTGCAGGGGGAAGGTGAGATGTTTTTAATGTAGGAGCTCAATGAGGAGGGTTTGAAGTCTCCTCCACAGTCGGAGTCCAGAGCGTCTTTCAGGGTGACGTCGTATTTCTCCAGGTACATGTCCTTCACTGTCTCCAGGTCGAACTGTAGAGTAACATTAAAACACTGCTGTCAGCACAAAATAGTTTTTCTCTTTTTAGTTTTTTTGCATTATATTATTGTTTATCCTTTTATTGGATGTTAAAATGGTCTAAAGTTATTTTTAGTTGTTAAACATCTATGTTTGTAATTAAACATTAAGATTATTATGCAGCGTGACTGGACAACAGGAGATACATTTACACTATGTGGAAACAGAAAGCTCTTTGCTCGTCCATATTTCAGAATAAAATATAATTTAATTCCTGGTTTCATTTCTCGGGTCAGACTTGAAAAGTCAGAGCAGAAACAGCGTTCTTATCAGAGGCTATATTTATTTCTTTGGTTATAAATTCCGTTTCCAAAGAGAACCCTGTGAGGTGCTGGACCAAATCAAGCCCTTTAAAGACCTAGATCAAAACATTTCAAATTAAAAGAGACAATATAATACTAAAATAAAAACCAAAAAGTAAAAAAGGGGTCTTGTAAATTTCAGGCGGCTTGGCCTTTTTTCTTTCTTTCTTTTTTTTAGCTCTTCTAAAGAAGAACCTCTTCGACAGCCTGGTTGGAGTGAAATTGAATACAAACATTAGGTGTTGGTCGTTTCATTGTCTCATTCTGATTTCTCAGAGAAGTAGCTTAGACCTGCACACATCTTTAGCTTAGCCTGTTTCCTTCAAGCTCGAGTATGATTTTGGACATGTGCTTTAGTCAGACAGAATTCAACAGCTTTGATGTGAACTTCTGTCTCCACCTCATTGCAGGTCAATCTCATGTGAACCAGCCACTGAACAGGACCAATAGTACCATTACCTTCCACACAGACTCACCTCAGAGCGTCCCACAATGACACGAATGAGCGTGTCTTCATCAGTGCCCGCTCCCTTCATGGCGGCATTGAGGCGCCGGGCAAAATACAGCTGAGGGTTTTTAGCACACCGGACTAGAAAAAAGCAAAGAAAGGGACGTCAGTTTAAATAAAAAACAGCTAATACTGAGTTTCATAAGTCACATCTGGTAAACAATCCTGTTTTAGGGAAATCTACCCAGAGTGATGTAGCACTCCTTTAGAGTCCCCGTTGCCTCAGAGTCAATGGCGTCCAAAATGTCTGTTCCTGAAAGCTGCAAAACAAGAAGCACAAAAATGTAAAATGTAATAAATGATGGGAAGCTGGAAGAACATCATGTTGAACAAACGAGTGCTGTCCTCACCGACTCATAGAACTTAAAGGTGGCCTGAAGCTGCAGATAGTTCCTGTGAGTCAGGATGAAGTTGAAGGTGGACTCGTCTGTGCCAAATCTGCCTTCTCCTGCCTGACATAGAGGAAAAACATTGTCAGTGTGTGTCTCAGATTTAGAGCTCTCATGTTTCATTTCTCAGGTAAACTTGATGGGTTTTCATGAAAGGTCTTTTCCTGTTTTTATTACGATCTGGGCCTCGTCTTCTTAGTTTCTCTCTTCATTCCAGCTTACAATAAACGATTCATTCAAGTTCCTCAACGAGAGCTGGGAACATGAAGAATCAGTTTTATCAGAGCACCTTAAAGGTATCATACTGACTGAATAAAAACATCATTAACAGACTCAACGTATTACTCAGGGTTGTTTAGAGAAATGTAAGGATACTTCACTGCGGTGTCAAGTTATTGGTTTACGTCTATTCTAGCAGATCTTTCAGGCTGTATTTGGACAGATCAGAGCTAAATGCTAACATCTGGACTATAACTTCCTCAAGGTGATAATGCTCACATGATGACAACCAGAGAGTATAAACAAAGTGGCTCTAGACTCCATGAATAAACACACTGATTTGTTAGCCGCAGCTTGAAGCCCTCTTGGTTTTTGGAGCCAGATGTCACCAAATTTAGACGAGAGACTGGATACATGTTGTGATGTCGCCATCCTGGTTAAAAAAAAGCAGCTGATGAGGCAACTTGTGGATCAAAAACAGCAAGGCACCAAAGCACGCCCTACTTTGTCTTCAGTTTGATTTACAAATGGAACTCATTTCTAAAATGAAGGTCAATCTGTCTTCAAGGAGAAATAAAAAAAAGTTATTTTCAAGGACACTTGATTTAGGGAACCAGTAGAGACTCCCCCCCCCCATTAACAAAAAGACAGACTGTAGCTTTAAGGACCCTCCTCATTGGCTTCACTTTTAAAACCAAGAGGCTACGCCCACTCATTCACTCCATGAGTATAACATCTACCCCTTAGCATGCTAACAGTACCAAATCAACACAACAAACAAACTTGTTTTATTTGTCTTTTGTTAGTACCTGCCGTAGGATGACGGATAAAATTCAGCCTTTGTGCTAATACAGGCATATTTACATGCATACTGCTGATATGTGGATTACTGTTCTAATTTAATAAATAAATAAATAAATAATTAAAACAGTTGAGGCCTGATTGGAGTGCCATATGTTTTTGTATAAAGTTAGTGTCGAACAAATGATTCAAACGTTAAGAGCCAGAGAGGCTAAAAATAACTGAAAAATGTTCATTTTTAAATAAAGGAAAGACTTTATTGGATTTTATTATATTATGGGCCATATATTGGGAGGTAGAGCCTTCAGTTATCAGGCCCCTCTCCTTTGGAGTCATCTACCAGTGAGGGTCCAGGAGGCAGATGGACCCCCCTCCTTCTTCCTGCATCTTCCTCCATCCCATTTTTTCAAGCCCAGCGCAGTTTGGGCAGACGGATGTTCGTCGTGAATTAAAATACGTTTTTTTTCTTGCTACTGTAACTTTGCCAAATGTTGCTTAGTGCTCATGATGGACTCACCTTGGCTCTTGGTAAATAATATAACAAAGAGTTAGGTTTTTTTACCTGCTTTTTGTAAAGTGTCTTGAGATTCCTGCACTGAACTAAAAACCAGAGTGCAGCATTACATATAAAAAAAAAAAAACAGCTGTACTGTACACATTCTGCACCAGTCAGATTTGTCTGTCATCCTGGTCTCACGTGATTAAAAACATCTTGATCTAGTATCACATTTCTTTGCAAATCACTGTTATTTTGAGGGTCAACTTTGAACCAGGCCTCTAATCTAAAGGAATTACTCTGCACAGGTTTAATCTGTGAACGTACCTCAATCAAAGATACGGCATCCTGTTCGGCTAAACCCTCATCCACCTCATAGCCCTCGTCTCTGCTCGCCTGTAGAATAAAAGGTTTGGAGGAAAAGAGGGAGGGAAAGTATTTGGAAAGAGAGAGGTTAGCGAGGAAGAGGTTAAAAAGACGGATCAGGAAAATAATCTCAGGCATTTAACAGGATAACAATCATCTGCTACACATCAGGGGAAATCTTTGAAGGCCAATGGAAGTGGTGTCGCTTTGGAGCATGAGTCACACTGGGTTTGTCTTGATTTCTGGGGGAAGGAATAGAGAAGGGAAGCAGCAAAGGGTGGGAGAGTTGGAAAAAAAAAAAAAAAAAGCTGAAGCATGCCAGACAGTGGTGTGATGTGTGAGAAAATGTCTCAGTGGGCGAATCATAGCATAGAGAACAATTCTGTGAGCAAATAACAAAGAGGGGGGAAAAAATGACAATCCTACTTCTCTTTATGGCGTCCATCCAAATTCTAGACTTCCTCCTTTGTTTCAAGGTTTGTTTACTATAGCTTCCCATAGTTACTACTGGTGCTAGAATGATCTTTTTCTGGTTAAATTAGTAATAATGAATCTTTACCTGCAGCAGTGCCATCAGCAGATTCCTCACATCTCCACTGGTGTCCCCCTCGATGTCCGCCTCCAAGTCACACCCATGCACTGAAAAAAGTCAAAAACTTCAGTAGTCCTTACACATCCTTCAAAACATCAACACAAGAGATGAGAATCTCAGGGTAACTCCCCCTCTGATATGATACGATATACCATATGTCAATATATCACAATACAGGTCATCCGGGATCATTGATATAAGACAATCATATAATGATGATGAACATCAGGATATCTGATTCATGTCTTTGTTCACTTGGTGTCAAATGCCCCTTAATCTGTCAGATTCATGCTTCATCTCTTCAATTCTTTTCACCGCTGTCGGACATTATCTCGCCGTCTTCTTCTTCTTTTATCTTGCTTTCAACTACAACTACTTCTTCGGTCAATTAACTTCCCTTCACGGTACTCTAACTCGTGTTGTAAGCTCCACCACGAGGAGTCATGAAGTGGTGACGCCGAGAGTCAAATCTTGCAGGGACGTTTGTTTAAAGCGCTGTACTTTTTAAATTGAAATATCCATTTTTGACACCAGCGAACTGAATTATTGCAGCGCACGGGTCAGGACACATGCTGCACCGTACAATGCCATACTGATGTTTTGACAGCATACTACGGTGCAAGAAAATATGCTGAGACTGAAACTGGAGCCTGAGGATGGGAGGGAGGATCAGACGGTGTTTGTGGTGAGTGAGTTGGGAAATCATGGCTCACTACAACATGAGTCACTCCCTGAAAAGAAACAGCCCTCAACATCAACACAAACATTAAACTTAAGATGACCACATACTCCAGTATGAAACATTAGGGGCTTTTTTGAGTGTGTATGACTCATCATGGAGGACGACTCACCCTGCACATAGGCCTCCTTGTACCTCATGATGTCCTGTAACAAGTGAACAAAAGAGTAGATTTAGTGAAGCCCTCGTATTCAAGCTGCTCTTATCAACATGAAATGGATCTCCTCACATGATGTCATATGCAAAGGGGTCACTTCGGGTGACCAACACAAACAAAGTATCCCCTCGCTCCACAGTACCGATCTGCTCAGTTTGAGATTTTGTATTAAAGCCGGCTCTACTGTTTAAATACTCACTTCCTCATCAGCTTCATTTCCCGCAGCAGGAAGCTGCTCACACACCCACTAAACAATATCTGCCCAGAGCTATCCAGCCCACAGTCAAAGTGAGCAATCATCCATTGATAAATACTGGAGGATTTAACATAGAGCGTAATGTTTCCCCCTCAGGTGTCCGTCACAATCTGATGGATTTACTTGCTTTGTGTTTATGTTTGTGGAATGATTAAATAAACAACTGTTTGCTTGTATGCTAGCCCAGTCAGCTGTTTTTATATCAGTGCAGTGTTTATAGTTTTCTGCATAGCCCTACTCCACGGCACGCTCAGCGCACACCGCATCCATATGAAGACCCTTAAGACTTTTCTGATATCATATCTTTAAGGCTCACATTTGTGACCAGCTCAAAACAGCTCTGCGACCCACTTTTGGGTCCAGAACCAGGGGTTGAGAACCTCTCATATAGACAGTTAGCTTGAACCCATTTTAAACAGTGTGACCTTTAAGTAGAAAATCAAACTCCACAGAAATATAAGCACGTCACTGATCATAATGTTATGTGTATTTTAATTTACCTCTAGTTAAAGATTGAGTGGAAAAACAATGGTATCTCAAATTGACAGACCTCATTGGTGGCCGTACACAGGACCTCTATGAGCACCGCTTCGTTTGTCCCCGCCCCCTTCATGGCCCTCTTCAGCTCCTTGGCGAAGAAAATATCAAGAGGGTCCAACATGGCCATGACGGCTTTCTCAAAGCTCCCAGTCAGCTCGCCTTTGAGGACCTCCTCCAACTCCTGAACAAAAACACCAAGTTAACACAGAGCTTATGTAACGCACACTTCACATGTGTCTTTGAACGTGAGAGAGGAAGCTAATGAGCAACTCACATCGTCATATTTTTCAAAGTAGGCCTGTTTGATCTCCACACGTTGAGCTGATGAACGATTGGCCAGGATATGAATGATGCTCTCTTCATCTGTGCCTGAAACAATAAACAACAGCATTTCACTTACACTTCAGAATACCATGAGGTGTTTTCAGACCAAACGGTTCTGGGTACTTTTAGAAGAGTTCCCTGAGAACTACACATCATGGGGACTTGTTTCCTGTCTGCAATCACACCAACTGTTATGTGCTAACTTTTACCATGGGATCTAAAAATGACTCTTATGTTTGACCAATCCACTTACACTGACATATGGACCAATAAGGGGGGCTCGTATAATAATAAGAAAACACAATATACACAAACAAAATATATTCCTGTGAGGGAACAGGTGCCATCCTCAGATTGCTTTTAACATTTCTGCATGATGTCTGGTTTCAGTTTGCAAAACTTTTAACTTCAATGGACTTTAAACTGAAGATGATACTGTCTTCAGGATCAACATATATCATGTTTCATAGCAGTGAATTATTTTGATTTGTTACTGTTACAAGCAGTGATGCTACTTTTACTATAGACGGTTAACATCAGATGCCTTGATCACATGCAAATACAAAAAGGGAAGATTAATAATGCATGAATTCTGAAAGGAGGAAGCGCAATCTTTTTTTCTCTTCCACTTACCTAAACCTTTACATGCTTTTCTGATAGCTTTGATATCAGCTGTGACATCAAAGTCCTCTTTTGGGAAGACGGTGGGCTGCAAAAAAATAAAAAGGAAACAGAGAAAATCAATCATAAAATGTATGCAAATATGAGAAAAATGAAACCGCTAATAAACTATCCCTTTTTGTTTGAAGTACATCATACATATGTCCATATCTGAGAGAGCCTTATGCTGCTTTAAGAAGTCTGAATTATCTCAAGAACCTGCTGAAGAAAACAGATTAAATGATATCTTCGTAAAGCTAAATTACAAATAGATTCAAGCACGACAACAGTATTTAAATATGGCAGATTTTAAAACACTGAGGAGGAGAAAGGTTGTGTGAATAAATCACATTTTCTTTTGTGCTGTCCTTGTTATAATGAGTGAGCACGCTTAGGAATGACATGTGTTTAAATCCTGATTTGTTTTGACCATTGAAGACAGATTTAATATGTTCAGTTTCAAAGCTTACACACTTTTCTGATCTCTAGAGTTCTGAAGAAGCTCTGAAGATGTATTTCTTTCACAGATTTTGTAATGTAAGTGTAAAACTTGGTTTCCAGAGTCTGGACTTGCTTTCATAATAAAAGTGCATGTCAGCCTTGTTAGGGATGGGCACTGTTACATCACACAATAATCATATCATCCATTCCACTCAAACTATTAAGAGACATATAGCAAAAGTGGTATAGGCGTGTGTAACATCCACGCATACAAAATCCAAGAAAGTAACGTCCATTGTATTTAGAATTATAAATAGGCTATAAGAAAAAAGTCAAACGCTACAATTTAAAGTTAGTCCAGCTGTACAGATTGCAGAGAGTGAGTGAGGGGAAAGATGATGCTAGTAGGCTACTCTATTACATGAGGCCAGCCTGTCCCGCAGGAAAAGGGTGCAGCCTGTGTTACAGCTGAGTCATGGAGCAGCAGTGTGTACAGTGTCTCTCCTCGCCCACCCTCACATTAACACAATGCGGCCTTATTGATCAGATGGCTCAAATTCCTGCTGCTGCTGCTGCTGCTGCTGCTGCTGCCTCCTCAGCCTGGCAGGAAACACACCCAGTACCAAAGTTAACTGCGCAAGTTCTGCTCACACTGTTTTAACAAAATGTATCATTTTCACCCCTCAAGAAAATAGTATCGACTACATCAAACAATCTTTTGACTCGGTCAGTGATATTAAAGTGATCTTTTTTTTTCCATGTGGATTTATACCTCTTACTTTCATTTTGAAACGGCTAACAGCTATCCTCCTAGGCTACATCACTGCTAACTCGGCTCCCAAACACTTTTAAAAACTCTCTGACAACTTACTTCACCTTTACATGATCACATTCACTGATTGGAAGAAACAGCTGTAAAAGAAATAAATAGACTTTTCCTACCTGCACGTTGCCCATGACGTTATTCCCGTTCTGTGTGGATAGAAAGGGGAGACAGAGAGACCCTGTGTGTGTTGAGATGTTGCGCTTGCTCTGTAGTTGATGATGTGATGTGGGTGAAGTGAAAACAGGCTGTTTCCTGAAGGGACGCAGCCCCGGCCGCAGCTGCAGGGATGACGTCACGGCCTCTAATTTAGTTAGCGGGATGGAGCTGGATGCTGAGGGGGGAGGTGGGTGCTCTTCGGGCTAATTATTGGGGAAATACAATATTTGACTTTTAATTAGTTGATTGATTAGTTTAACAAGTTATTTCTTCTTCCGTGTGCATTTGTGGGTCAATATAGGCTGCTGAGAATTTGCATACTAGCCTGTCATGCTACTTCCTAATTATATTGAACAACAATTACAATTCACAAACGTTTTACTTGTCCACATTACTTCAAATAATAGTGAGGCAACTTGTAACTAAAACATAAGCCTGAGCATGTTATGAGCCCAGGAAAGGGTTTAAAAAAAACAGAACTTTTTACAAAGAAGTTTAGCTTCACACTTGCTATTCATTTAATTCCTGATTGATTCACCTACACCTTGACACCAAAACTAATAATTATAATTTAATAGTCCTACTTAGACATACTAAGTACATATTATTTTTTTAGAAGTACTTACCTTTAAAGAAATATAGGGTTTTCTTCAGTTGTTCTCTTTGTAGCACAACTTTGTAAGCTCAGTAACACAGACCTGTCCTATCCCTATCCTATCGCTGAAAATAAACCCTCATCTATGCTAATCTCTACAGAAAATGTATACTGAACACAATCATATACTGGATTATTCCCATAACTTTACATTGTAAGGTGATTATTATGGTTCTTGTTTAAGTATTAGTATCTCTACCCCAATGGAAGAAGCTCTATGGCCATAAACATGTAGCCTTAAAAAGGAAATCACTCTGATACAGGTTAGGATTCTGTATTTACATTTGTCTGATAATATTGAAATTATCATTATTAAAATGTATCATAGAATTAAAAAAATTAAAACATTAAGCAGAAATGTCCCTGCTTTCAATATTAATTATTTTAGTTAATTATTTTAGATTTTAGATGCTTAAAAATCTAAGAAGAAGCACTTTTGTATTTCCTGGACCAGGTGAGGCTCATTAACAACAGCTGAAAAAGGGAGTTAAATTTGAAATTATCTATTAGATAATCCTATACTGAACAATCATAATAAGCAAACTGGAAACTATATTTCACTTTGGGATGGCTTCAGGTAGAAGTAATAATAATTTTAAAAAAAGTCCTCCACACAGTGGCAGTGTTGCACAAACAGCTACAACATCCAACACCCTCTGCAATAGAGGTAACAAAAAACAACTTTTTTGTGTGTGTGCAGACAACAAGCAGGAGTGTGAACGCAGGAAGAACAAATAATTGACTGCATAGAAAATACTAACAATTCCCTTGTTTATTGCTGTTTTTAATAATTTTTTGAAAGGGTTGAGTGTATGTTATGTTTTTTTTGTTTCCTGAGAACAGAAAAATGCAACATACATATACCGTACATGTTCTCTTGTCATTTCTCGTCTCCATTTCTATATTTTTGCGTGAAGGTATTCGGTTCATAAATTTTTTGAGAAAATGTGTTTTTTTTATCCCTTGGATCAATGTTTACATCTGAGTGGTTAGTGAGCTGTGTAAGAGGAAACTACACCAGCCTGTGGCAACACCATGATGATGTTAAGATAGCTGAAAGGGTTTGCTGAGATGATTCAGCCGTGGGGTTTTCGAGGCAAGTTATGTATTGGCAGATAGTCAAGATTTTATTACTATGACTATATACCTCTAACATACAATATTGGACTGACTGTTTACAAGGTTATGATACAGTCACTGTATAGGTTGCTGTGGACAACAGGAGGATTAGCAATGCTGCGGCTAAATGGGATCCTAAATGAAGAAACAACACAAACTGGGGTTTCATAGAAAGATTTAATCCAGTATTGAGAACAGGGTATTTTCTGTATGTACATGCAACACAACATGAACGTACAATAAAAATACTCCCATGTGGATGCTACAACATTGTGTAACTTTTAGGAGCAACACTTTACAGTATAACAAGCATAAAATACACTAAGTGGGCAAGTTTCAACATTCCTTTGCAAACAAGCTAAAACCATCTGGTAGAAAAATGTAGTGAAAGTTAGAGTGGTGGGTCATGTTTATTTATCAAGCCTATTGCTGTTTTCTGAATGCTTGCTGAGCAAAACAGATTCTTTAAACAAAGTTATTTTCCAAAATGCTTGATAAATCCATGACAGCTGACATCTAGATTTAATTATCTCATGTGCTTTTGAGCATTTCATTAAATATGCAATGATTTTTTTAAGCCTTCTGGTGAACATTAGTGCCATTACACCTGTGTTTTCACTGTCACACACAACAGCAATGAAGCTGATCTGACTTGTGTGATTGTTTTGGATTAGACTTCACTGGTGGGTGGATGATCACAGTCCCAGAAAGTCTGGCTGTGATAGTTGTCCGTGGACATGATGCTGAACTGAGGAATTACTCATTTCCTGTTAGCATGAAAGTGACAAAAAAAGCTTTGGCCATGCATCGTTGTGGTTCTAAAGACTGATTATGTGCAAAGACATGAAGTAAGGTGCATTCAAGCAGATGCAAAATGAGCAACTAAGTGACTGAGAGAAAATGCATTATTCAAATCATTGCCATGAGTCTGGCTCCGTGTTAGTCTTTGAAAGAATCCAGAATTTTTTTTTAAACGTGGAAATACTCAAGCCTCGGAGAAGGGACATCAAAGGCCAGAATATAAAGAGTAAATAAGTATCAGTACTCGATACCCGTACAGCTTTTCCTGTTCTGCTGTAATTTTTCTGCAAGCCATTTCAAATGTGTGTGTACATTTTTAATGACAACGCACCTCATTTCAAAAGCATTATGTGTTACACAAGGAGACAAATACCATAGGCAACAACATCAACAGTTCCATTGTCATAATCGAGTACAAGTTAACCAATTAACAGTTATTGGATGCTTGATAGTTTGACACATGCAATGGAATTTTAAAAACACTGAATATTGAGAACTGAAACTAAAACATACCAAGTATCTTTTTTTAAAGGAGCTTCCTTTCAATCCTTTGTGATTCCCTTGTTTCACTTATCAAAGAAATATTTTTGCAATGAGTTTCTTATTTGGACTAAAAGTTGGACATCACACCTGTGTCTGGGGCTTTGGTCTTGCTTCTAAGAGCTTGTATCCCATTTTTTTTCCATAGGTCCTTTGTCCCTGATACCTGCTGGTTTTCATCATTAGCATCTGATGTTGTAAGTCTTTGATGGTTACCTGTGCAACATAGAATATCATCAGCATAACAGGAAATATGGGTCAAAATTTAATGGACTCATTAGCTGAAGAATTTACTGTATTTGTGAAATCCATACTCTCATCTGCTGGTAAAAGCAGGTATCACTCTTTGTCTTCTTACCGTGGTGTTCTCAGAGTGATAAACCATACATACAGTGTAGCTTTTTGTCTTAATTCCTGACTTAAATTGTATAGTATCATCAACAAAACAGGAAACATTCGACAAGCTCATCAGATGGAAAATTAACTGTCATGAGAAACGATTGTTTAATGATTCATTTTCTAATTATCTTGATGTATTCAATGGCCTAAAAATTACATACAATGTAACTTTAACAAATGTGCAAGCAAAAATGCAGACTAAAAATTCCACTAGAGTGACTTCAAGGTTGCTTTCACTGCGATGTTACAACAAGAGTTTGCACTGAATTGCATCAATGGACAGCAGAATAAATAGACTCTCTTCACAAAATCTTATTTTACTTAGGTCACCCACAGAAAACCTTTCTCATCTTATTCAGTGTAACATCTTTTTCATTCTGTTGCTCTGTTTTGTGCTGTGCTGTCAGTCTGTGAGTACAAAAAGTACAATCATCACACCCCTCATCATGCCATCCCTCCAGAGTCCTGCTCCTGAAAGTCCCAGGGGCAAACATCCACCACTTTCTCCCCACTGCTCACTGCAGGTTTGTAACTAGTACTCAAAGAGCTCTCCTTCTTCTTCTCTGGGGATTTTTTAGTCTGAGCAAAGCTGGTGTGAGAGGGCTCTGTCTCCCGGGAGTAAACCTCTGCCCTCCTGATTTCCATTGCTTCTGGGTCTCTAGTTGAGCTTCTCCGCCGCTCAGAAACAGCCATGCTATATTCCGATGACTGGCTTACGCGTCTCCTTTCTGATTGTGGTTTACTGGAGGAGCTTCGCCTTTCTCTACTTTTCTCCTTCCCTTTCTCCTTCTCGGCTTTGTGGTTGGACGAGCAGGAGCCTTTCCGTTTCTTCTTGTGTATGGTCGGACTGTTGCAGGACTTTTCCTGCTTAGGTGAGGGTGGAGCATTGTAATCCCACGGGCAGATCTCAACCATCAGGAGGGTGGCTGCAAAAGGCTCCCTGTGGACTTGGAGTGGTCAGAGTGGAGCCCCTTTGGTTTCCCATCAGTGGGTGTTACACTTTTCTTACGCCTGATCCTGTCCGGGGAGATGGAATCGGAATCTCCTCCCAGCATGGGCTGTTCTTCAAAGTCCCAGGGACAGACATCTGGTTAAGAGGGAGAGGTGACCTGGGTGGGCGCACTTTCCGGCTTTCCCTGCCCTCATCCCGTTCTCCTCCTTTATCTTTGGAGCGGCGTCTGTTGGAAGGGGATTGTCCTGCTCTCTGCCTCTGCTGAGATCGACTTCCTTTGGAGATTCCAGAGCTGCTGCTTCCTCTCCGGCACGAGGTGGTTTCTACAGGAGCAATGGATACATGTTTCTGGGTCTTTGCTTCAGAGGGAGTTTGAGGTTCATCCATGTCCCAGGGAGAAACCTCAGACACATCGTAGAGGCTCCTGCCGGTCTCAGAGCAAATGGAGGGCTGGCTGCCACTCACCTGTTAAAGTAAAGCAATAAAACAACCACTCAGTAAATCAGTTTCTATGTTGATCACAGAAATGTATGATCAAATACTTATGTATGAATCAATAACATGATTCCTTGTTTTCTTCTATGCTTTAAAGGGGCTCGTATTTGCTTTTACTTTATTTGCCAGTGTTGACTGACTTATAGTCTACCAGTATACCAGCTCCTTTCAAATACATCTCACAGTCCTCATCACAAGATAGTTACTCCTCAGCTGGCATGGAGATATGTAAGATGACATAATATGACTTACGTTTTTTTCATAGTTTGCTGAATACAGATACATGTGATGTCAACAACATTTCAGCCTTCCTGTCAATTGAGGTCCTGCTTTTGGGATACTTGCCGATTTCTTGGGTTTTTATAAGATGTGTAGAAAGTAATGACTTTCTGTAACTCAAATGTGCTAAAAATCAATATTTTCACCTGAACATCTCAAAGATTCACACCACCTAACTCTTAATTTCCCCTCATAGCTAAATGCAATTTATCTTCTTTTGCCCCATTGTGTGGGTATTCAAGTCTGCACCTCAATGTTTTTAGTTCAGGTTTTCATCAGTTTGTTTCAAGTAGAAGCAGCAGGTGTTTCCAGTTACAAAGATCTGTTTAACTCACTGTACATTACTTCCAAATGCTAAATGACAGAAAGTCAGCAACAAGCCAGAGACTAGAAGAACATTTGGCAGCAGGGGGGCAGATATTCCTTCAGGAGGGTCAAGAGACCAAAATGAAGATAAAGAAGAGTGTGACATTGGTACAAATTCACCCAATGAATGCTCCCTTTATAGCTTCAGATGTAAATAGCTGTGGGCATGTGAGTGTGGAAACAGCTTATTCTTTGTCTGTCAATTGGCCATAAAATCAGTTGTTGCAGTTTTAAGACTAAAGGCCAGATGTTTCAATAGCCCAGCCTATTAGGGAGTCCCACCATATTGATAAAAGTAGTCCTTGTGGATTTATTTGTTTGAGCTTTGGACTAAGCTCTTGCCAGGATTTCTTTATTTCTTTATGTAAAAAACAAAACACGATCTCAATATCTCTAGCCTACTTCTCACATACATTGTGATCTGCTCTATGTAATTGTGGTTGGAAAATGTACTTCTGGGTAAAAGTCATGCATCTTTCTGCGTGGTCATGGTCATCTGACTCTGTCCTTTTTACCTGCTTTGCCAGGTATGTGAGGATATTCTGACTGAAGAGTTAAAAGATAATAATGCCTCAGAGATATCTCAATTTCTTTAAATGCTGGGTTGAGATTGTCTTCTGTGAACTAATCAGAGCCATTTGTGCCTCTAATTGTGAACCTTTTTTCTTGGGGCAAACTCTGTCAAGCAAACTCTGTGTTTCCACTGCAATGTGTAGTCTGCTTCCAGGTACCTATATTTTTAATAACACATATTCATTCAAGACTGTCTAGACCATGTTTATTAATACATGGGAAAACAAAGACTGACCTAAAACTGCAATTTTTATTAATTTTAAGGAGAAACAACATCCACTGAGGTAAAACAGAAAGTTCTGGCCAAGGTATTTTTATTAGCAGCTTTAGTGATTTATCAACTAACATTTCTTTGAAAGAGCTAAATAAAATATTAGGACACAACCCAATCTGGAATGACAAGTTGTTAAAATTACCTGTTGTTTCATGATGCCCATCTTCATGGGTGTCTTGGAGTACTCCACCGATTGGCTGATGATCATCTTGGGGTAATGCTCAGGTGACTCGTCCACCTCCGACAGCATCCTTTCGTCCTGACCCTTCAGACCCCTCTTACTCGCGTCCTCCACGCCTTGCGTCTTGTTGGTTAGCCCTGGCATCTTCTCCTTAGCACTTGCAATCACACTCAGAGACTTCTGCATGATGGAGGTCCTCAGGTGGACAGGTTTCTTCTCGTGTGTCAAGTTGTGAACGCTGGCTGATTTCCAGAACAGTGGAACGGACTCAGTGGACTCAGCTGGTTCCAGTCTTGGTGGGGTCGCTGGTTCTAGCTGCTTCTTTGTATGTTTCCGTCCAATCAGGGAACCAAGAAGAGATCCTTCCCCAACTCCTCCAACAGGAGTTGTTTTGTCTCCTGCAGTCGAGCCAGTTTGGCTTCCGGTTTCTTCAGCCTGGTCGCAAACATGGTCATAGCTGAGTGACTTCTTCAAGCCTATGATATTGTTCTTCAGGGAGTCGTCGCGAGTTTTACCTAAGGGAAGGTTAAAACAATAGGTTTGCATCAAAGTAGGATGGATTTACTGATATTTTCATTATTTCTCTTGGTTTAAAGTTGAGAGTTTTTACTCTAGACTTAAATGTTTTTTTATGCAGACTACGGTTGTGTGATTGTGTACTGACTTGCTGCAGGTAAGGGTTTTTCTTTTTTTCTATCAGTGGTTTAAATGTTAGTTTTTCTCTTAGAGCATTTGATATATCACAGTAAGAAGGCACAGGTGTACATATTACAATGGATGATTGCTTTTTCCATTTAGCTACTTCGTTTTGAGATAGTGGCTTTGTTCATGCTTGTTTACTGTCATGTTGTAATGGCTTACATGGTCATGTGTATTCCAAAGAGTTAAAGATAAATTTGCTGTCTTTTTCCTACAATGACAGTTCATAATTTCTGCTTTGAAATGGAGGAAGTACCATGGTGACTTGGTTCAAATGGGTTTCTCCTTAAGGTGCTGCGGTTGCTGCCGTGCTCACTACCATCGTCACGACTGCACTGCCGGTGTAGATGCATCGTCTCTGGGATCTCTGTTATCCGTTTCATCAGGGAGCGACCCAGACCTTTCTTAGAATTGCGTTTCTTTTGGAGGTGAGGGTTGTTGGCGAGCATCTTTTTACGTTTATAGACTTCCAGCTGGGCGTACAGCTTCTTCAACTCATCCTAAAAAAGGAAAGGATACTTTTAATGTTGGACTTAAAAAATACCTTATTTTGCTACAACCTTCAGATATGGGTGGTGTCTGAAACAAGTATCCTGATAACAGGAGTTCCACAGGGCTTTTTGCTGGGCTCTCTGCTCTTCTACAAAAGTACATTTGGTGCTGTTAAATAGTGTCATGGCTTCTCCTACCACTGCTATGTTAAATGCTAAGCTAATTTCCATCTTTTACCCTTGCTGCCTATCAGACATATCAAAGGTGATGTCAAGTAACATAAAGCCTGAACTGCATAAGACAGAGCTGTGTTGTACAGGGGAAAGATCCCATCACTGGGACCTGTCCATTTATTGTTATGGGTTGTACATTATGGAAGCGACTAGTGATCAGAATTCAAATGAACAACTGAGGACAGCAGAGTCAATGTGAATCTGCCAAAGCAATCTAAAAAACACCATCTTATCAGACTTCATCTTTACAACTCTTGGTACGATTAACTAATGCCTAAGTCAATTACATGTACAAAAGGCCTAGCACTTAACATACAAGTTACTTGTCTCAAAGCTTTACAAACCCTCTATTTGATAATGGCTAGAACTGACTCCTCTTTTGAATGCACTTAATGCAAACTTTTTGGATAAAAGATAATTCTTCTGCATAGTGCAGAAGCTTAGTCACACCCCTTTGGTATCTCTAAAGCTTTCTTTCTGTCCAACGCAAAATTACTGTAAAACTCTGTTTGGTTAGATTTGACAAAAAAAAAAAATTATGGTCAAAGATTAGAAAAGAATCACAGGGTAGTTTATGCCTATAAAAGGTCATGTGCTTTTGGATCTACACCACCAGATTTAAGCCCATGTTTACTTGGAGAGGACCCTGGCTTATCCATTGAATCCAATCTGTACTCCAAGCACCTTTCTTATGCATCAACAACAGCACTTTGTCTTGGCATCTAATAGTGCCTCCTATGAGTTTATATCAAGTAGTTGAACACCTGGAAGGTCCCATGTAGACTTTTGTAAGGAAACTTATGTGTCTGTCTACACCAAGGTTTGTCAGTGGTGTTGTGTCGATATCTTACACCTCGGGAATGAGAATGTGCTGGCTTTGCACTGTATATTCAAATCATAATAATTCACTTTGTTTTATAAAGATCTGTCTCAGGCATTGCCTCTTCTGTTAGTTCTATATTAAGGGAAATAAGGGATTAAAGCACACATCTATGGGCTTAAACAAACTTAACACTTGTATGATTCTAAATGATACTTTACCCGTATATCCTCAGGGTCCAGACTATGCTCACTCCAGGCCGAAGTGATGCTATTGTTGAGGTAGGAGCCAGATCTCCCCATGTCCAGCTCCTCCTCATAGGCCTCAATCGCAATATCATCCCTGGCCTGAGTCCCTTTGGTCAGGAACTGAGAGAGATGGAAAGAAAGGTTAAAGAATGATATCAGTGAGGCCACAGGATGGCAAGAAGAGATGTATAATTGGAAATGTAGCCCCTGAGACAGTATTGCTCAGGCCCTCTGTATTGAACTCCTCTGGCCTGATTTATTGTGAGAGGACTAACTATGTTGCTTAAAGGTTTTTTGTTAGATGGGCTGGAGATAAACAACATTTTCCTGCAGCAAAATATTTTCTGGTATGGATTTTATGTCAAGAAAAAAAGTTACTGTCCTGCCCTGGTTCAACTTTTTCAAGGAGAATTGTGTTTTTTACTATTATTTACTGTTGTTCATTGCTGCGTTCAATAATTTCCAGTCAGCTGAATATCTCTGATATCAAATTAAGATTTGTTATTTAATTACATCAGTTTTCTGCTGTGGCAAACGAAATCAGAGGCATCAATATGAAGATTGATTTTTGCTTTTTGAAAAAATAAAAAACCTGCAATATTCTGCAGTGGACCAAAATATAATACTGAATACTATACAAGTGAATATTGTTAACTTAAATGACCAATTTATTTAAAAACACCTTGATTCCAAAACTGGTCATTATTGACCAACTTATGGAAGAGTATAGGGTCCAATCACTTGTGAATCTTAGGGTAACTTAATGCTGATGCCTTTTCATGACCTGCAAAAGCAAACAAGAACGTCAGCAACAAGACCGACTATCACTTTGTAATAATGCTTCATGCCTGCAACTGCTGCCAGGGGGAAGGTGTCAGACGAGCACACTGACAAAATAGTCCTTTTTTTTTTTTTTAAACCATATCTACCCATTGACTGTAAATAATAATGGACATATGATATGTAATGATGCAGATGATGTTTTTTTTTTACTGGATTTCATAGCCATACTATTTAGTTTCACTTTAATAACAAATCTGGAGACAAATGAAGACCAAATATTTATACAAGATTCAAGAGCATACGCTTGGTGAGATTAACTTTCTTCCCATTGTGCTTAATTATCCCAGAGTCCTCGGCTGACTTGTTCTTCTGAGGTGCCCTAATTAAGAAAGAATGAGAGAACGCAGAGGGCTGATGGCGTTCAGCATTTCTCACACAGCAGGAGAATGAACTGTTTTCCATCCGACTTGAGAGATTGCACATAAATACACCCGCGGGAGTGCTTAGCTAAATTACAACACACGCTAACGCAGTTTGAATGAGTTTAACGTAACATATGTGTATTTGTGCGTGCATCTGTGTGTTCTAGATCAGTAATATCAAATAAACTTAAAATGATTCATGGACTACTGTGTGTACAAGCTAAAGTACAGCAGTTTCCATTATGGAAATCTCTCTGTACTAATGTAATGTAACCTTTATTTAATTGCAGGATTTTTAAATCCCTCTCATAAGAAAGAAAAGTACAACTTCTACTTTGATCTTGTGCAAACTTTCTATGGATGTTACTTCTTATGTACAGCTTTGTTTCCCAGAATAGTGACACTATGAATGTGTATTTGCGCCTACGTTCTAATATTTTTTAGCTTTTTAAGATGTATCTTTTCCAGCACCTAAATTCAAATTAGGATAGTTATTACCTTCATCAACAAACTTCTTCACAGGGATAATGCATGCTACCATTAGCAGTGCAATGAGTGTGTGAATGCTGTCAGATGGGGCCCTGTTAAGGGGGTTTCCTGTTGTCATTGCAAACTTTGCACATTTTGAGCCTCTTCTGTGATTGAAAGTTTGTCAGCTCTTGGTAGTTCCCTACTGGCCTGGAGTCCCAAACGGTTGCATGCCTAGCCTGTTGACAAGTAGCACCTCTGCTCGACCCCTTTCCAACATTTCATTCCCCTCTCTCGCCTCCCAATTTCCTCCTCTACCCACTGTCCTCTAAAGTCAAGGCAAAAAGCCGAACAATCATTTTAATAAACACAAATATTAAAACAGGTTAGGAGTTTTGCTCAGTGGTTTTGAAGAGCATAGATTTGAGACTTATATCGGACATTTTCACACCACTATTTTCGGAAGTCAGAATTGTCCATATGAATTTTTTAATGGAAGGGAGGTAGCCGACAAAACATCCAACTAACATCCCAACTCGTGTTGTTTTGTCCCTATAAGTGATTAGACCTAACCTATGACTTTGTTTCTATTTATTTATTTGAAGTTGTGCGTAGTGTTACCTCTTTTGTAAACAAACAGCTATGTCTATTCAATTATATGAGAAGTTAAGAAGGACAACACTGTTATATTTTATCAATAGAATGGTTGGGAACAAGAAGGTGAATCTCTACGTTTATTTTATAAGCACAATTGTATATCTAAAATCTGGTTTTTGTATGTTACTAATATACAGTGTTTTTAAATCAATGTAGTGGATTAAAAAACACTATGTTAATGGTAAGGGGTAGAAGACTGAGTTTGATAAAGAAATATCAGAAAAATAAAATCTACTCTGTTACTAAAGTGCAGTATAAGCTAATATACAGTACTGAGATTGTTCATGAGCTACAGGTACGAAGCGTTACCTTTGGAATGAGCAGCAGGCCCAGAGTCACGGTCACACTCAGGTGAGTGTGAGCGAAGAACAAAAGGAGCATCCAGTCAGGGTGCAGACCAGGAACCAGAGAGAACCTACAGAAAAGCAAAAACAGAAGAAATTATGTTCAATCAGCGACACTTTATCAAAGTTTATTTACATGAGAAACTCAGCAGTAAAACGACTTTGAGCGTCTGTGAAACATCTTCAGACACGCATACAAACAGACATTAAACGCAGCTTTTTGGTGATTCTCTTAAAAGTACCAAAACCAAGAGGCAATGACTTCACACACTGTAAACAGAGGTATTGAAGCAAAACTGGGGGGTATTGGAACCAGCTGGCTCTATAAGAGGTATAAATGAAGGTTGTGAAAAATGTGTTCCACCTGACAAAGTTTCAGGGTGTAGCAGTTTCTTTCTTTTGAGCCATGATACATTTTGAATACTTAAAACTGTAGACACTCCAGAATAGACAGTTTACATGTGTTTATAACAATTCAACTTGTACACATTGCAGCCATTTTTCACTGATTTCTCTCAGGGCGGGAAGCTAATAAGCTTAATTTGATATTAATTTGTGTTTTATTTCTCAAATCAGTTAACCTATGTGGAGTGTAATTGAATTAAGAGGTTATATCTTTATTTAACCTCGGATTTAAGAAGGGGCACCTCTTCCTGTTAAAGGAAGAAAATGGTATGGTAAACTTAATGGTATAAGTTAATTAATCAGTCAGTTTCATATCTTGAAAGAAGTAAGTTCTGGAAATGTTAAACAAGAAAACACACAGACAAAGTCCTGAATTTTATGTGTAAAATTTAATATAAAAGGGGTAAACAATAATGTATAGATGAAACAGATAAAGAATATGATTATCATGATCAGGATAATACAATTATAATGTATGGTGACATTATATATTTAGTAATGAGATAAGACGCGGTATTGTTTGAATGACTTAATCAGAAAATGGACAAAAAGAAAAAGTCGATTAAATAATTTTGGGATTCTATTTGGATTTAAAGGAGGGCTCTGAATAGACACGACTCAAGACTGAATCTTCCAACACCCCTTGCCACCAGCAGTCTTACTGTGACATGTGTTCAATTGAACTCCGCCGGCTGGTCCCGCGTTTCAAGCGGTTCTTTCCAGGTCCAGAGAGGTCCACGGGCCAGATTAGATGCCTTGACACCTTGGTCGGAGTGTGCAGCTGGGATGGAGATTGTACGTCGGTTCAGCTGTCGTCTTGGAAGCTCCAAGAGGATCCAACAGGAAAGAAATGATTAAAGAATCTTTTGATACGTCGATTCCCAATTCAGACTAACCGGATGGCCATTTTGATGAATCCAAACTAAGTAATTGGCGTTCAAAATTGAAGAGCAAAGACTTTGGAGAAGAAAGTTCAAAAACCTTGCTTGAGCCAGAAAGAATTGATGTTCCAAAAATTGTGCGTGAAATAGAAAGTTTGGCAGAGACTTGTCTCTACGGCACAAGCTTAAAAGAAGTGATTCAGACCGAAGTCTGAAGAGGAGAGAGCCAGAGCTGAAGCTCTAAACTTCACAAACCAAAAACAAGAAGAACCCAAGATCTGAGCTGAGTGTGAACTCTTATCTGCTGGCTGAGAGGAGGGGGGTCTGCAGGCAAAGAGGGGTGCCTCCCACGGGTGACTCCCATTCTGACCGGAGGACAATTGTTTAAACTAAACCGAGTTTACTCAATAAGATTAAGAATAAGAATCTAAACATATATACGTCACCATACCTTCATTTCGATATTATTTCTATCAGAGCCACGTTGATGTAGGTTCACGTCATATATTTAGACAAACATTTCTATCAGATTCATGTTAAGATGAAAATCACACCAAATGGGAACATCCTCAGTTAATACCAGCCTGTAGGTGAACAAAACCATGTTATACAGTCAACATTCTTAATAAGACATATTAATAAAGTAGGAAAATAAATTAGTGTCTTTAAATAACACCTTCTATAGCTAATATCAAAGAGTATGCTTTATAACACGTCTAAATGTATAATTATGAAGGTTACGTATTCATATTCTGATATTCTAACACTAGATGGCAATAGCGCTCCACGTCAAATTCATATTAAACATAATAGAACTCTCATTGCCGTTCTGAAGATCAGATTTTGAGTTTAAAAAGATGATTATAATACATTCAATGTGACAATTACAAATATCTAGATGAAGAAAGACATAAATGTTCATTTGATGCAGAATTGAACGCTTCAACAGATGGTCAATTTTACGGCTTTGCAGAGACTGGTTTCGGTCAACAGTTCATGTCTTTGGGGTGAATTCGTAGATAGTGTTCTGTTTCCCAGGTGTTGTAAAAGTTCAAAGCATCATGTGGCTCACAATGGCAAGCAACAATCATGTGTGGGACATTGGGCAATATTTAAAGGTAAGATAACTTTGGCCCCCAATTACGCATCCGTGACATTCAGACTGAAGGTAAAGCGTCACATGGGCGTACATAGTGAGGCTTGAAACTGATATGTGTTCTTTGTGCCATTTCAATCAAAAATTAGGTTTCTATGTTTCTTTTAAAATAACCACATATTCTTTTATTTACATTTCACACAATGTCCGGACTTTTTTAGGGAAACAATGCTTTACATGGACTTCTACATTGCTATTCTCTACAGTGAATAAGGAGCAATATTGATGCTTACCTGATATAACAGGCCCAGATTTTACTTCTTAGAAAATAACATCCTAGACAATTGATTACACCAATATGTTAAACATCGACTGATCTGAGACTGTATCCTTGCAGTTCTTCTCCAGTTGTCTGATGACTTTAAAATGTTAAGAGTTAAAGGCTTGTATTTTAAATCTTGCCATGATTAAGATTCTGCTCATTGTTTGTTTACGCCTTTATATACACCTGAAGTCATTTGAAATAGGAGGATATAGTCTGGCATTGATTCATTCTTTGTTCAACCTTAATTATTTAAAAGAAACCAAATTGAGTGTTTCAGAGCGAGGATATTTGTCCCATCTGTCACCACTGACTCATTCCAGAGATGTGCAAAATCTACGTCAAGCTCACAGTAGTTATTCTTGTATCCTGTGGCTCTTTTGTAACACTTCATGCAATCATTTCAAATATTGTAGCTGTTTTAAATTTGGCACTTTGGATGAACCAATCAAAGCAAGACACAATGATTGATCAATCAATACAATTATTAGACAATCGGAAGGCATATTGTGGTTTTTGTTCAAAAGTGTTTGGAAAGATTTCTCATCCAGCAAAAACTGCCGAAGAGTTGTTTCCTTCTCATTTGCAAGCAGGTTTTACGGGTTGTTGATTCTCTGCTATAACTCTCAATAATCACAATAACACAAATATTTCCAGAGTGGGCACACGTCCCTGAATCTGTTACCCATAATTATTTAAGTGGACTTTAATTTGAAATGATTAAAAGGAACATTTAAGTTATATTTGGTACTTGAATTCACTTATGCCAAATAAAGTCAGCTGGCCTCGTTTGCTCCTGACTCTCTGAAAAGAATAGACTACAGACCCCGCTGTCATCCCTTTATTCAACTCACACATCTGCATCATCTGTGATGTAGCCATGGAGGGCAGTGAGAGAAAGTCCTGTTTCTACTCAGGCTCTCATTGGCTAAAGTAGCCTAAGAGCAGTGAGTGGAAGGTCCTGATTGGTCAAATGAGGTGTCAGCTGAAAGGCCATTAACTAGTCCAGAGGAAACAGTTGAAGAGTGGAGGGGAAAATGAAATGCAAAGACGTGTTTGTTGGTAAGTAGTCTGACAGATGTGTAGATTGTGGTTGCTCTGTTGGTTGGATATTGAAATTGTTCACGTTCTGAATCACAGGGATGAGAGTTTTCTACACCATCAGCGTGTGGATGTGTATGAATGGATTAGTTCATATTGATTGAGACTTCACATAGCAGCCTCTGCCATCACTATGTGAATGGGTAGGTGTGACCTGCAGTGTATAAAGTGCTTTGAGTAGTCAGTAGACTAGAAAAGCGCTATACAAGCTCAAGTCCATTCACCATAAGATACTGTACCATAGGAAAAGCAGAGATTTTGTGTATTCCTCCACACCACAAACACAGCGGCCTGCACTAGTCCATTCTTATTTAAAAGGGTTTTCTAGCAGACGGACTATGCAACATTTTTATTCCCTAAAGCAAGCAGGAATAGCATGATATGTAACAGCTCCACACCTCAGATGAAGACGTACCCATTGAAGTTTCTCAACAGATTAAAAGGCTGTGATCTTTTCCTTTTCTGAGCACAATGGACCGCTGGAAGAAAAATCAATCAGCAACTTTTATAAAGGAGACGGTGTGACAATGGAAGTTTTTGCCCGAGGCTCCTGCGAGCACAAAGAAAACCAGCTGAGCAGATTTACTCCCAGTGCAGCGGGATTGAGAAAGTTTCTCTTTCTTTAGGAGTTTTGAAAAAAGGAAAGTGTGTATTACTTCTTCCAGCAGACTTTAAGCTGCTCAAGTCTTTCAGCACAGATAGTCAAAAACCTATATTCAGACATGACAAATAGAAACAGGCTTGTGTGTAAATGATCCAGAAGTGCACACAAACAAACAAGATGTATAATTAAAATGTAAAGTAGGGTGGCTGTAAAGATGTTTGATGCATGTTTGAAGTCTCTGCAAGCTGATTGTTCATGCAACACAAACCTAAAGCAGCTGCCTGAAGGTAGAATCACATTCATTAAAACTGCCTCCACTCTGCTTTCTACAGAATTCAACACAGGTTGTCTTTAAATATGTGATAAAATGAGCTCATCCAAACCACATTGTTGAGAAGTTTAGTTAAGTCCTGATACGTACTAGGCTTGTGAAACAACGTAGCATACTCTGTATCTGCATTGTTTTGTGGAAGAAGTGACGCCAAGTGAATTTCATTTAAAAAATTATGATATAATTATTATGGTATAATTATTAATTAAAAACATTTTAATCATGGCCATTGGTTATTGGTTATATTAGTTAGAGAAGTCTGATTTCAGTTGGTGCTAATAGTTGAAACATTAGAAATAAGTATTACATTTAAGGGAAGTACTTGATGGAAATGATTGAAATGGAAACTGTGTTGCTTTTTATGTTGAATAATGGATTTATTCGGGCATATTTTTGGCAGGCATTTTGTGTTATGGGTGGAGCTGCGTAAGTAACGTGGGTGCGATGCTCAGGTGGTGAGAGAAAGTTGAGAATGTGGAGGAGTAAGAGCAGCACGCCAAATGTTTTCTCATCATGTTTAAGTTAAGAATTTTGATATATTAAGTTTGGATTCTGTTTTGGAATTGTGGACACTCAGTGAATGAACTGGAAAATGAAAACAACGGATCCATGAGTTCTGATATATTTAAGTGGACACGCTTTAGACACAAGGGTTAGGGTTATAGGTTACTCCTATAACTTAAAGACAACAGTCCCCCTGTGGTCTAAATGAAACATCTGTGTTGTGCTTTGGTCAAAACTTAACATGAATCAAGCACCAGAGGAGGTTTGTGACCCTGTATAAACCAGCTCTCTCAGAACGCTCTGTTTTGGTGTGTGTGTCTCTTTAAATCCAATGAGCCCCCCTGAGTTTTCCTGGTAGACATCAATCCTTCGCTAGCGAGAATAAAAATGGCGGACCTGTGCAAAAGTTTTGCTCTATGCTGGGGGTGGAGTCCATGGGAGGAGATATCAGGGGAGGGTACTTTTTTTTGTGCAATGGATGTTTGTTGTTTTATTGGCCTCCACGAACTCTCTTTCATAAGATATTTTGGGGTCATTTTTGCCTTTATTGAAAAGGACAGCTGCAGAGAGACAGGAAATGTTGTGAGAAGAGAGACATACAATAAAAGGGCAGAGGTCAGATTTGAATCCATGGCCTCTGCCACATGGACTAAAGCCTCTGTTGTTGAAACAGATGCCCACCAAAGCTGCAAAAAATACTAAAAAGCACAGTTAGAGTGAGGAAAAAAATTATAAAATCAAATAACCGACTATAAAAATGTGGAAAGCATCATGGAGATATGGGAGATAATGCTCTAGTTGACCGCAGTTATTTGATCAATCATTCTTATTAGTTGATATCATTTTTTTTTATAGTGACAGTACTATGATAATGTAATCCTCCAAAGTATTGTCGCTGTGGAGTCCAAGAGATAATTCAATGAACCATATTCTGGGTATTTCACAGCAAATATATGACATTTAACTCCAAAAAAAAAGAAATGTACAATACTCAGGAAGTTGTCTTACTGAGTACATGGTGTAATTTCCAGCTCTGTGAGTGTGATATAAAGGCAGACAGACAGTTACAGCACACAGAGAGCGTATTTTGGGATCTGGCTCAGTGGATCTACTGTGTCTCTGCCTGGGAAAGACATTTCTTATTTACTTCCTTTCAACTGGCTTACACAAGCACTCGGCTGACTCTGTTTTCTCCCTGATGAAGAGGGCGGCTGAATTCCCTGCCTTTCATCTGACATGTTCAGCATTGTAGTGCCTGCTCCAACAGAATAACACCTCCATGGTTATGATTAAACAACAAGCTTGTGCTGCACGAGCGTGTAAAGTCCTCTAAGCCGCTTGCTATTGTTCACGCTATTTCCTCCTCACTGTCACCAAGATGTTCATGGGGAAGAGTCCACTGTTCCACACTCTTAGCTTTGTAACATTTCTCATTTATGCCCCTTCTCTAGCTCCCCATTTCATCTCTCCCTGTACACACCAGGGATGTTCCTAGTGACTCATTTTACTGTTGCTTAAACAGAAAATTTAATTCTGGCTAGTCGACTAATCTAAAGGGAAGAAAACAATTAGAGAGCAGTGCAAATTGAAAGCAATAAATGTAACACTGCTAAAAACTGTCCAAAATCATATTGGATGTAGCCTACTTAATTACTATTTGACACGGATCATCACATTCCTCAACAACAGAAATTGAAGGCTTTTTTGGATATGCATGGTTGAAATGTGAGGCACTCTGTGACGTGCATTACTCTGTGGATAAGAGTGCTGCAGAGTGCTCACTCACATCTGGAGGGAACCAGCTGCACTGTGAGAATGACCTTTTTTCGATTTCTCCAGTGCATTCAACACCATCCAGCCACAACTGCTGGGAGAGAAGCTGCAGAACATGGGTGTGTACGTGTCTATCACCTCCTGGATTACTCACTACATGACAGACAGACCACAGTTTGTCCGACCGGGCAGTGCTCAGTCTGGAATCGTGGGGAGTAGTACAGGAGCTCCACAGGGACTGTGATGTCTCCTTTCCTTTTCACCTTGTACACCTCTGACTTTCAGTACAACTCCAGGTCGTGCCATCTGCAGAAGTTTTCTGACGACTCTGCGGTGGTGGGGTTGTATAAGTGATTGCTGAGAGGAGGAGTACAGAGCGCTGGTGGATAAATTTGAGGAGGGGACATGAAGACATCAACGGCTTCTAAAAGTGGAGACCAGGGAGATGGTGAGTGACTTCAGAAGGAAAAGGACAGCTTCACCAACGCTCGGTGTTCTGGGAGAGGACGTCAACATCAGACCAACAATGAGGCTGTGAAGGGGATGAGCAGACTGTTTTCTGAGGAAGCAGAGATCCTTCAACGTGTGCAGAAAGATGTTGGAGATCGTCTGCAGTGGCCAGTGCACTGTAGTTTACTGAGGTCTCTGGAAACATCAACACACTGGAAAAGGTCATTAAGAAGGCCAGCTCTGTGATTGGCTGCAAGTTGGACGCTTTTGTAGAGAGGAGAACACTGAACACACTGTTATCCATTATGGATAATCCCGACCACGCTCTGCACCACCTGCTGAACGGCAGCTCACTTTAATGTAACTGCATATCGACAACTGGGATCAGACTTTAGTTTAGTAGCTTTTGAGTTTAGATTTACTTTATTTGAGTCTGTATAAATAATGTTGAGCATATTTCTGGATCCGTATAGGTTTAGAATTTTCTTTCTTTATTGTTGTTAGGATTTACTTACTTTGTATTTTTTTTCTTCTGTTGTTTATTTGCTTTCATAACCTGCTGCTGTCACACCACCATTTCCCAGTTTGGGCTCAATAAAGTCCATCCATCCATCTAAACAAAGCTAACTTTAGCAATGCTAGCTCCCCTTGCCTTCGGTTCTCCTTGCAGGGAAATGTCCATTCCTCTGCTGAATGTGGTTACAAAGTGCTTCAGTCCACCGTGCTGGTTTAAGTCCGGACAGTACAGCGGGGAGAGCAGTTCCATTAAAAGAGCTACAGCCCCAGTAAAGTGGTGGGTGGCTGAACCACAACATTAAACCAACATTGTGGGCCTATGCTAACAAAAATATGAACAATTGGTTTAACGGACTAGTAGTTATGTTTCTAGCAAGGGTGACCATTTTAACCATTTAGTGGGTTACTCAGCATATTGATGTTGCGTAGTGTCGAAACTGCAGAAGCATTTGAGAGCTTAATGTTGAGTTGTATCATTTCCAGACAAAAAGTATACATTTTGAAAGCTGTGACACAATCAATCAAATATCATCCTGGAATGAATGAGAGAACTGAATAATCATAAGAGCTGCAGATCTTATTATCTATGCTGGCTGTTGTTGTGCAGATCAGTTCTTCTTTAACAGAGCTTCTACTGCCTACATGTCGAGAAGAACAGCTTACTCTATTGTGTATTTTGTTATGTGAGCTATGATGTTTTTGTGTCCACCTGCTTGTATCTTCATTTTAGACCAATACGTTTTGATCCGAGGTAAATCACTCATCTGGATAAAGACGTTTTTCTTTTCAAGACTTTCACAATGAAAATGTTAAACTATGTATGTAGCCAAACCATGAACTGCTCCCCCCCTTTCCTTCACCCACCTGATGATGTGGAAGATGGCTGATAAGAGGAGCTCATTGTAGATGGCCACAGCCATGTAACGCGGCTCATGGAAAGCTGAGGGTACGGTGCGGACAGCGTAGCAGAGATACACACCCCACAGCAGGAACAGGAACTCCGCTGGAAAACAAAGAAACAGAATGTATAAGGCTTTATTAGAAAGAGCCTCTTTTAAAATAACAAAGTACCAAGTTCAATTTAAAGCTTTAATTAATGCTACAACATTTTAGACATGTTTTATTTACTTGTCAGGTAAAAAAAAAAAAACAGCGCACACTCATGTTTCTAAGTCGAGTACAAAACTTGAGCTTAAAGGCCTCTTTCACATATATGGAAGATGGAGAATTACTTAATCGGGATCTTTCCAAAGGGAAATAAAGAAAACATGACCAAAAGCATCTCTTAAGCTTATTTAAAAAAATGATAATTATCATTGAATAACTACACAAAGGGAAAAGTAACAATATGTACCTCAGACTGGAGCACCTAGCCAAAGCTAGTACTTCACTGTTAGGGCTCTGGTCTCACATATTTGTAAATTAGATTAACGATAATTATCTCAATAGAAATATAACAGAAGCTGGATAAAAGTTTGATAAATTTAAGCCTGAAAATTACACCACCCACACACTGGGAAAGCTAATGCGCTCAAACGCTAGTTGCCACTCGACATCAAGAGAAAAAGCAAAAAAGACTATGAACAGCCAATCATGTCGCAGGGATATAAGTAGGCTGTCTTTAACACAATCAATTCAAGTAGCAGTTCCTTAATTGGAACAAAGTCCCGTGTTTTCACTGTTAAGCCTGAAGCCAGGGAACGCAGCAGCTTCATGTGACACTGTGTAGATAGCTGCTATCTTCATATTTCACCTATGTCACACATCCATACAGCAATTCAGAGGGAAGATATATCAGGTGGCCTCACAGTTATCAACACATTTCAGGATGTACCGTACGGATGTGTGCTCAGACAGTTCATTACCACTTCAATCAGCTGTGAAATGAAACTGTAAAACACATCAGTTATAGAAATCCATATTAATCATTTTGGAAGTGATGAAGTGGATCATGTGTCATAGATTATTTTATCAGCTGGCTACTTCAGTGGCACAACACCGAAGACACAGTATGGCACAGACTGACACCGCTGGTCAAACTCAGATCCTCGTAACTTTATTGCCATTCTTCTACAGGTATAGAGCTTTATGTCATTAGGTTCCTCACAGACCAGGTGATGAAGAGATGTGAAAATAAGAAAAAGACTTACAGAACAATACGAGCTAAACAACATGCAACAAGACTGTACGATGCCGTGCATATGGCTTTGGTTTTGAGTATGAAGAAGTAATGTAAACATGTGTTGTCATTGAATATTGCACAGTGTGAATAAGTAGGAAACTGAATGAGTATTTAAAAAAAAAAGCAGGTAATAATAAATAAAGTGTAAATACAATAAAAGGCACAACAGTGATTATTGTCCAGTATAAAGTGTAGTATTTGTCCAGTGTAAGGTGCTGGTGCATGTCTGGACAGTGCATTAGGTATGAGGGTGTTTGATGGGAAAGCGGGGAGAGCCTGTGTGTCGTAGGAGTGGGCCGGACCTTCAACATTGTGGATATAAGCCTCAAGAAAAGTGTCCCTTTCTTTTAAATCCTTTTGGGGATCCTGGCAAATTCATCACCCATTTCTTGATTATTTGAAGGAGATTGCTTTTACAAATTAAGATTTCTGGTCCATTAGGGGATTTCCACACAGACTTCACTAGACACTGCAACAACTAAAATGGCTACGGTGCGAATATAAGGTATGAATATTGTAGGTAATGTAATTAAGGACATCGTTCTTCATACAGCACCTTGAAGACACGCAGTTACAAAGTGCTTCACAAATAAAAGCAATCAAACGATTCATAAGATGAGAAAATTACATAAATAAATCACGGTGTTAAGCATGAAAAAGTTAAGATCAGGCAAACACAAAAACAAACTAAGCACATGAAGGCTTCTCTGCACAGGGAAGTTTGAGTTGCTTCTTGGAACAGTCCAGAGACTATAGAAATGAAATAATTTGCCGAAGCAATCTCATTGTTCTTAAATTTGGACGCTTTCGTTTTAGGCGCTCTTTGATAATGAAAACACATTACGAATAAATGTAATTACTTAAAGTTATAAGCAGACACAGTAAAAATAGAGCTGCCATCCTGCTGCTCTGTTTGATGACAGTGAAGTGTGTACCAAGAACTGTGCTGTGTTTGCATCAATAAAGTACTTACTGTGATTACACAACATTAATATTCATGAACAGGCTGAGTCTATAAATCATCACTCATTACGTGCTACTTAGCCTCTGAATGGGGATTCATGGAGAGCTGTTTGCGAGAGAGAAAGGAGAACAATTCACACTGATGCAGATTAATTGTGGATTCAAATGAGCGGCCTATTGTTGACGTTGTCGATTCTCGTCTGCATCAGCGCTGCTTTTCCCTGCATTTCAAGACTAAATGGAACTTTTTATTCATTTTTCCAGAGGTACACGTGTTATCGTGTCAGCACAAGTGAAAACAAGAGGAAACAATCGGCTACATTTTCATAAGCACGGCACGCTCAACTGGGTTGTTTGATTCCTCCAAAGCAGCTTTCCTGTCCTTCAGTGTGTAGCATCAGCACACAACAATGTTCCCGCTGTCTGTCAGAAGGAACTACCAGGATCCCTTTTTAAACATGTTCCTTTAAATACACACAAATCTTATGATGGTAAAAACATAGGGGGATGATTTTGCTCGGTGTTCTATGCCATTAAAGGTTCTGTTTTTGTTCCTCTAAATATTCTCTGTTGCTTAACTTTTCTGTCCTCAAATTGTCCTTAACTGTCCTCCCCTCCTTCCTCTCCCCCTTCTCCTCCTCCATCCAGCTGGTTCTGCATCGCTGCCCACATCCCAACAACCTGCATCCTTCACACGCTTCACTCTTCTTCACTCTTCTTCCTCCCTGTCTCTCTCTTTCTCTGAGCCTGCCTGTCTGTCAGCTTTAAGAGGCAGAAGAAGCTTCTCTCAGGGATCTTTCCTCTCCCTCTTTCCAAACAGGATTAGTCTCCCTGCTGTCAGACCGGCTTCAGCGAGGTGCCCATCACTGCCTCCTGCTTCAAGACACAGTCATTAGGAAGCTACTGTTACACAAAAGCGAGGCTGTCTTTGTACTCACATGATACTTAAGGGATACTACCTGCAACTTTTAACCAAAATAATCACTCTTAAGCTTGATAAGTTTCTAAATTATGGTCATTTTAAGAACTGTATGAAAATTTTGAGTCAGGCAGATCTGGGGTAGAAGGGTGGATTTTTTTATGCAGAAGGACTGTTTTAACAGGGAAAACAAAACTGGGCCCTTTATTTATATTTCTGTAGAGCTCTATTGGACTAACCATGAATCTACTGTTAAATAGTTTCCTGCATCTTAATCTGAATATTTCTGGTAAAATAAAAAAAAATGAAAATTGACTTTTATAAAATGGCATGAAGCATAAAATAGGGCTTTCACAAAACTCCAGAAACCGATATTGTATGTGTGACACAAACAGCCAAATTTTTCACTCGGACTTCACCCCGAGTTTCTCCTGCCAGCCCTCTAGTATTTTTTCCACATCAGGTCCGAGTGGGCTGATGTGAGAACGCAACAGGTTATCATAAGGAAAATTCACCTCGAGCCAATAGGAGGGGTTGGTGACATTGACATCCTGTGTTAGACCCACATTTTTGTCACAGTAGGTGGCATACTCACTATGGTGTTGGAGTAGAAGGAGGGGTGATCATAGGCAGGTGGGCAGCCTACCGTCAGAGGCACACAGTTTTTTTTACCGCCGTTGTGAAGTGTAACATGGACTGAACATTTAGCTTGGTTTTTGTTTTGCATTCAAGTTATAATGGATAAGTGTATGTAGATAACCCGAATATTTATTTTTAATGGACGATGTCAGATTAAACCCGTTACCCTGTGACAGCATGGATTAGTTGACTGAGTTATTGCCAAACAACACGGAAGACAAAGCGTCAATTTAAGTACCGTAGGCTATCAGCCCCTCAGTGGCTTAAACGTTTTGATTGGCAAGATCAAGTCACTACATCCTGTGACTGGAGTCAGTGCATAGACTGTATGCATACAGCATTAATATAAAGGCAAATATTCTCATAATAGCATTTTATGGCAGAGTCTGTTCGTCCGCTACTTCCGCGTCGTTATTTGGGTGCATATGTGAAAATGGCTAAAGTGAGTTTGGCCATATGCAGACGATCCTGTGTATGAGCAATCAAGGTGAAGTTGCAGTGAAATCAATATAACAGCTAAACATTCAATAAGCAGTCAGCTAAACTTGAGTTTGGATATTAAAGCCTGCTGTTTGAGGTTAACTTGTCTTGCCTGGGTTCTTATAATGGTTCTTATGATGGTCGAGTTATATATGTCTGTTGGGTATCTTGCTATATGGGTTCTTATCTGTTGCATTGTCTTGGAGTATTTTGCATCTGTTATATTCTTGCTGATGTTAATGTTCTTTGTTTGGTTTAGTTTGCTTTGTTCTTGTTTTTGCCTTTGCTGTTTGTCGAAGCACTTTGTAAACCTGTGTTTTTAAAGGTGCTATATAAATGAAGTTATTATTATTATTATTAATATTATTATTATTATTAACTGTCTGCTGTTGTGCTTGAATTTGTTTGCATGTGTTTTTTATGTTCCATATAGCATTATCTCTTTGATAGATTATTGTACCAGTAAGATTATCTTTAAATCATCCTTTCTGTGTTGCAGCTTCAATATGGCTGTCCAACACACTGTAGAATAAGAATAAATAGAATGACACTTCTTCTTCAGTTTCTCTTTGGATGAATTGACCCGGTGTACAATTCAAGAAGCCAAATTACCTTCCCCTCAATTTGTGTGCAATTTCACACATTTCCCACCTACACCATCAGCTTCTATAAAAAGGTTTGAAAAAGACGAGACCGATATGGAGCAGCTACTTTATTGACAGCTCAATTCTGTGAGGCTGGAGATTCTCTGTTTGCCTCACTTTGTCCATCAGTGTCTGAACTGTGCAGGGTGTTTACCTTTAACCAGGCTGCACTAATGCCTCAAGGCTATTAAACCCTCACAGTTCAGTTCAGACAGCGTGCTGCCTCTACTTCTAAAACTTGATTTTTAGAGAGTGCCACAAGTTAACAACTTTAAAAAAAAAAAGTTTCTGTGTAATTTCTTGTGGCTTACTTTGAGAAAACAGATCCAAACACTGCAGGCAATATTTATGATGTCAAAATAAATGCATAGAAACTATAAAAGGATTGAATGCCACCTTAAAAGACTTTAATCAAAGACCTTCTTAAAAAAAAATCAACTGACCCCAATGGTTTAACTTCTATAACTAACATACTCAGTCCTCCCCATGTCATCATCATCACAGTTGCTAATGTAAATATTTGACTGATCAGTCTATTATCATACGTAGCTGTTACTGCTACTACCACACATACTTCAACCATTATTACTGACATTGTAGCTATGAGCCTACATCTATTTTATTCTGTGCTGTTCCTACTCTGTCCTCTACTACCACTAAGTAACAACTAGGTAACCACTTAGTTACCATTAAGTAACCACTAGGTAACCACTAAGTTACCATTAAGTAACAACTAGGCAACCACTTAGTTACCACTAAGTTACCACTAAGTAACCATTAAGTAACCACTAGGTAACCACTAAGTTACCATTAAGTAACAACTAGGTAACCACTTAGTTACCACTAGGTATCCACTAAGTTACCACTAAGTAACCATTAGGTAACCACTAAGTTACCACTAAGTAACAACTAGGTAACCACTTAGTTACCACTAAGTAACCACTAAGTTACCACTAAGTAACAACTAGGTAACCACTAAGTTACCACTAAGTAACCACTAGGTAACCACTAAGTAACCACTGAGTAACCACTAAGTAACCACTAGGTAACCACTAGGTAACCACTGAGTAACCACTGAGTAACCACTAGGTAACCACTAGGTCACCACTAGGGAACCACTAAGTAACCACTAAGTAACTACTAGATAATCACTAAGTAACCACTAAGTAACCACTAGGTCACCACTAAGTAACCGCTAAGTAACCACTAGGTAACCACTAAGTTACCACTAAATAACCACTGAGTAACCACTAAGTAACCACTAAATAACCACTGAGTAACCATTAAGTAACCACTAAATAACCACTGAGTAACCACTAAGTAACCACTAAGTAGCCACTAGGTAACCACTAAGTAACTACTAGATAACCGCTAAGTAACCGCTAAGTAACCACTAGGTAACCACTAAGTTACCACTAAATAACCACTGAGTAACCACTAAGTAACCACTGAGTAACCACTAAATAACCACTGAGTAACCACTAAGTAACCACGAAGTAGCCACTAGATAACCACTAAGTAACCACTAGGTCACCACTAAGTAACTACTAGATAACCGCTAAGTAACCGCTAAGTAACCACTAGGTAACCACTAAGTTACCACTAAATAACCACTGAGTAACCACTAAGTAACCACTGAGTAACCACTAAATAACCACTGAGTAACCACTAAGTAACCACGAAGTAGCCACTAGATAACCACTAAGTAGCCACTAGGTAACCACTAAGTAACCACAAAGTAGCTACTAGGTAACCACTAAGTAGCCACTAGGTAACCACTAAGTAACCACTAGGTAACCACTAGGTAACCACTAAGTAACCACTAAGTAGCCACTAGGTAACCACTAAGTAACCACTAAGTAACCACTAGGTAACCACTAAGTAACCACTGAGTAACCACTAAGTAACCACTAGGTAACCACTAGGTAACCACTAAGTAACCACTGAGTAACCACTGAGTAACCACTGAGTAACCACTGGGTAACCACTAGGTCACCACTAGGGAACCACTAAGTAACCACTAAGTAACTACTAGATAATCACTAAGTAACCACTAAGTAACCACTAGGTCACCACTAAGTAACTACTAGATAACCACTAAGTAACCACTAAGTAACCACTAAGTAACCACTTAGTAACCACTAAGTAACCGCTAAGTAACCGCTAAGCAACCACTAGGTAACCACTAAGTTACCACTAAATAACCATTGAGTAACCACTAAATAACCACTGAGTAACCATTAAGTAACCACTAAATAACCACTGAGTAACCACTAAGTAGCCACTAAGTAACCACGAAGTAGCCACTAGGTAACCACTAAGTAACCACTAGGTAACCACTAGGTAACCACTAAGTAACCACTAGGTAACCACTAAGTAACCACTAAGTAACCACTAGGTAACCACTAGGAAACCACTAAGTAACCACAAAGTAACCACTAGGTAACCACTAAGTAACCACTAAGTAACCACTAGGTAACCACTAGGTAACCACTAAGTAACCACTAGGTAACCACTAAGTAACCACTAAGTAACCACTAGGTAACCACTAGGAAACCACTAGGTAACCACAAAGTAACCACATGCCAAGGGTCTTCCCCTTTATCTGTAATGTTGTTTGGTAGACTTAGTGTCTGCTCTAAATTGTCCTAGACATCACAGACTAGTTCTGGTGGGTCAATATGACCCTGACGTTAATAATGTATTTTCTAGAAATGCAAAGCCTTTGTAAGAGTCTGGCAGAATTGGCATAGCAGGGACACACCATCAGACATGTCCATTTACTCCATCTCTCTTCAGGAGTATTCTTGTATGTATAAACTTTCTTCAACTTAAGACATTTGGGTCTCCTGAATATTTCTTGTGTGAGGTCAAGTTCTTAGTAATTTCCTAAGCAGTAACCACTAAAGGTTTTTTGGCTACCACCCATATACCATTAATAAAGCACTACTGTTTTTAATCACCTGAAATGAGAGAAATTCTATTGAAAAGTAAACTACCATTTAGATAAAGAGTGTGTGTGTGTGTGTGTGCGTGCGTGTGTGCCCCTAGGAAGGTTAATGCTATCTTGTTGTCATCATTCCCCAGAGGAAAACTCTTAAAGAGCACAACAACATCATTACTTTCTGTGTGGAAAGATGTATAGCTGTGTTTATGTAAGTCGGCCTAGCTCATCTCATCAATTCTGAATTTATTTGTGTTCAATAAATAACTGTGTTTTTCAAAGTAGTTTGTATTTACAAAATAAAGTCAGAAAAGAAGTTAAGAAAAAATATACTTAGAAACTGGAAATCAACCCATTTCTAGAATTTACAGCAATAATGATCAGAGAGAAATACTGAATGAAATACTTCCCTGAATAATGTTTAATAATGACTAAAGTAAACTAAGTCTTCAACCTCACCAGAAGTAGCTTTGACCTGACCTTCAAGCCAATAAGCTCCACACAGTGAGGTGTCAGGAGGACCACCGTTTCCTCACTTGTCCTGTCACTCCTCATGGGGTCATACAGAAAATACAAACACACCACACATAAACACACACTTACCGACAGCCATCATGTAGTCCCAGCGGTCCAGCAGACACATGCTGAACTGCAGACCCTCGGGGGTCAGGCCTGCAGCAATCAGTTCCCGGCTCAGCTCTGGGTTCTGGCACACAGCGGAGGTCCAGGCCACCAAGAACCAAAGAACAACCAGCAGGATAACCAGGAGCAGCCGCAGCACCCGCCAGCTGGTCATGTAAGGCGTCCTCTGAGCCGTGCGGGATAGGAACACCTTTAACACCCTGAGAGAGAACAACAGAAGCCTGTATGAGGGACTGCATAATGAGCAATGTAGGGAAGTATAAATAACAGATTCTCCTCCTGTGATTGACAGCTCACACCTCCAGCTGTTGCTCATGCCCACTTTAATTAAAATTAATTTGTTTGGTAGGTAAGCATGAGCAGTATAATTCATGTTGTAATTTCTCCTGAGCTGACAGGAGACATAAAACAGAGGGCAGAAGTATGTCTGCAGGAAGAACAAGGAAACTCATTTCCCCCAAAACTGAACAGGACAATTGACTTCAATTAATTTTCTTGTGGAAGTTCATTTTAGAACTAAAGGAAGAAATGTGCAAACATCTATGTCTAAATGCATGCAAAGCTGCTTCATCTATGAGCTGCACAATATTCACTATCCTTATTGCACCCATAAGCCTCTTTTAAAGGGAATGAAGCACATCAGCCAGAATAAGTTATGAAGCAAAATCTGCTCAATAAGTAATAAGAAGTAGACCTAACTACATTAACATCAACCATTTATTTCTGAACCCCAGAGATCTGCATTACGGCGGTCACTATCTTTCTTCAGTTTTGGACAGATAGGCATTGTTAGGTCTATTCGGTAGTCGACAGGTTTTCCATTTGGTAGCAACTTGTCATTCACATATTAGCCACACCCTAAAGCATACACATCTTTAATGCAATTTTTACTCTAAACAGTTCATTATTTACTAAAATCATGATGGACTGACAAAAACATGAAACTAGTAATTGAGGGTTAGAACTTGTGAGGAAAGTGTGTACTTATTTATTTAATAAATCAAATTATATGTAAAGTTTTCCTCAGATACTGTCTAAAATGCCATGTCAGCTGTCAGTGAGTATGTCCACAATTCACTAATCCAACACATAACCAATTAGTCCCAAAAAATCAAGTGGTTACAGGTAAAATATGATGTGACAATGAAAACAGCAGAAAACAACTGTTTCATTCTGTTGTTGGTCAACAATTTAAAAAATACACAAATCAGTGTTTTTCCACCTTTTATGTATTTTATTTTACAACAGCATTGCACTAATATCTGATGGTTGTTTTGTACTGGCCAATACTTAAGTCTGTAATCAGTAGCAGCAAGGAAAAAGTGGTAACATCCTAAGTGAGAGGTGGGGTCAGTTCTATATCTGGTTTAATGCAGTCTGGCTCCTTTTTGCATATTTTACCTTTATTAATAGGACAGCTAACAAGAGAGAGGAAATGTGAGGTAGACATCCATAAAAGAGTCGGGGCTGGGAGTCAAAACCTGCCGCAGATAAGCCGAGTACTGAAGCCTCCATATATACGAGGCCCCTGCTCAACCGACTGAGCAAAAAAAAAAGAAAAAAAAAAAAGGAGTACACTTAAAGCCTATGTTTTATAAAGGATTCAATGTTTGGTATCGAGATCTACATGTGGACAAATACATCAACTACTCCAAAATCACCATCGACTCCTCTCTGTGCTCCTCTGCCCTCTTCAGACCAGTCTGTGACTAATCGATTTGATCTTTGCATATTCAGGGGGAGTGGGCTGTAAGAGCTCTCCCCGCCGGTCTCACTTCACACCCACTCGGCACAGTAAAAAATCTAATTGATAATCCTGCTAAGGGAAGACTCCTGTGGACCTCTGACCCCCTACTCCCATCTCAGCAACACTGGAGAGCAGAAAGTGAGTGTGGGTCTGAATAGATACTTGAGCAAGCAGACACACAGGGAGCGGACCTGATGTGAAATTCAAATGTGCTCATTAGTAATAGTTGTAAGTGTGTGTGTGTGTGAGAGAGAGAGAGAGAGAGAGAGAGTCATTTGTCTGTGTAAATTGAGAGGGAGCTGAGCTATTGAAAGTGAGAAAGACTCACTCATAGTGCAAGTTAATAACCTAGAAGAGAGGAGAGAAGAGGAGAGGAGAGGAAAGGAAAGGAGAGGAACTATAGCATAAAACTATAAAACTTTGTGATGTGTGTACCTTCAAGAACTGCTATAGTGAAGAACTGCAATCATTAGTTTACTGCACTTACAACATCAAAAACTTATTTTAGATATCAGTGTGGTGCATTGTTCACCTATCTCTCATTATTTGCTGCTCTGTCTCCGTCTCTTTATTCTCTTATTTTGTTGTCATTGAGCCTGTTCACATAAAGTATGCTGGTTGATAAGATGGGGGGGGGGGGGGGGTCGCGCTGGGGCGGACTGGTGGTGTCGGTGCTCTCACTGTTTGCCAATTCCTTCTGGAAGAAATCGGAAACAGTTGAATAAACGGCCGACTGTGTTGTCGTAAATGTCTGTAAATAGAGGACCTTAGTGGGAGTGCCCTGCGGTGCTGTGCATTCTGGGAGTTGGTGTCTTTCATCCACATGAGCCAAAAAGACACTTTCTGCCTTTTCTCCATCAAGAAGGCACCAACTTCAAAATGTATTTCACATTTCTACTACATGACCCAATGTCAATACAGAGTCATGTTTCAACGAGTGAAGTATCCCTTTAAGGAGAACAGACAAGGAGAAAACTGGAGATAGGAAGAGAGGAGAAGAAGAACAACGAATACAGTTAAGGGAATCAGGAGAGGAAAAGAAGAGCGATAAAGAAGAAGAGGAGAGGAGTGGAGAAGAAAACGGGGAGAGGAGAGAATTGTCTATTTTTAGATTTTTTTCCACCACTTTAGTTTTCCACTTTGGCAAAACAAATCATCATGTGGAAGGGATAAGGAACTAAGTTATCTCCTCACCCAAATGATCATTATCACACTTTTGAATCTTTGCTTTAGTGACAGTTAAGTTTCGTAACAGTACCTGTAGAGCTTGAGGACGACGGTGCCGTACATGATGGCGAATCCCAGCAGGCGGACCCACCTCAGGAGGATGCATCGAAACACGCTTGGATGGAAGTACAGGATCATCACCTGCAGAGTGATACAACAGCTTAAGTGTTCTGAATGACTCACACATGTTGCTCGGTGAATCACTTCCTCTCCTGTGCTCTTCTTCTTATATGAACACAGAGAGAACCAGAAATGAAAATGAAGTAGATCTGCAGCGTGTGAGAAACTGGAGGCAGATTTGACCTTGTAGATTCTTTTCACACCTCCAGAGCTCCCTCTGACATCTCGAACTGCACGTTGCTCATATGTCAGCCGCACAAACACAGAAGATATGAGGGTTTGAACTGTTAGATGATATCTCACTGGTGATATTCTGTATAAAAGCTATTCATGTGTGATGACTGCATCACAGTTTGATTTGGATTTTGTTATCAGGGGATTGTCCAGACTTTTTTTTTTTTATCTAGGGGGGCGCTGTCATACACAGGGGAGGCATGTAGTAGCATGCACACAAACAAATACAAAATCATACACATTGACCTTTCCTTCCTAAACATTTTGGAAGTATACAGTCATTCAATTCTTGTGTACATGTTATTTATTTAAAAAAATAGCACAGAAGGGGAAAATATTAAACTATAAATCTTGCTCAAGTCTTGAAAGACTTAGAAAGAGGTATTAACGATAAATGCCCCCAGGAATGTGTCGAAAATTTTTGGCTTCAAAAATGTTGAGCATTTTCATGAAAAAATATCGAAACTTCAAAACCGCCATCTTTTTCAGCCTACAGGTGTAAATCAGCGGTTAGGAATTTTCACTAATACTTTGCTTACAGAATGGAGAACAAAGATACAAGACATGTAACAGGCAAATTTGTAAGATTTGCTTGCATTCAGATATCGGTTTATGTAGATTACCACCACCCATAGGTTCCATAATTCATTATGGCCGATTTAATTCTGCATGTTTCGCCCTCCACTCTGAATGTTTTCCTGTGTATCGTCAGTGCCTGCAGAAACGCATGGTGTGATACTACATGGACAACAAACAGAAACCCAGAGCACCTACGATGCCGAATTTGGTTCCACGCCCGCAGATTCAGCCCATTTTTTTTTTTTGTGCGTGCACAATCTGTAAATAGAGATTAAAATGCCACGAAAGCTACTAACAGTCTGTTGCATCAAAACTCAGGTTGGTTAAAACAAGTGGTGCACCTGACCGGGCAGAAGCTAGTCACACTAAATGGGGTGACACTTAAGGTTAGATTTCAGGGGGCAGGTGGCATGCCAACCCAGGCCACCCCCTGGAATCGCTCCTGGTTAATGTGAATAAACATGTGTTAGTGAATGCACGCGACTGTGTGCACATGTGCAGTCCAGAATGCCATTTTAGATTCGTAACAAAGCTGAGAATCTCCAGCTTGGCTTGATGTTCGTTTTCCCCCGAAACTGTTAAATCAAAGCATCCATTAGCATTTTTTGTTCCTACTTTGTTTCATTTCACTGGAGTGCATCTCATGAGGAAGCCACATGTCATGTCTCCACTGACCCGAGTGAAGCTTAGTTCCACACTCTGCTCTGAAGATCCAGCACAGCAACTCTGTGCTTGTTTCTACTGGAGCAAAGAAAGTCTGATTCACTCAACTGATGGATAGACGCCCTCCACGGTGTTAATGCCTGACTCCTTCCTGAGTCAGACTCGTCCTGCTGTTAGAATTTACTCTGCATAAATTCCATCAACCTCACAGGATCTCATTTTTTTTTTTTTACTGTCGAAAACCTCAACTGATTTGTTCCACATGTAAGTGCTTCAACTGAGTCCTCTTATAAATCTTAACACGCATGCCTGTAGGCGTTAATCCGAAGACGTAGTATGGAGGAAAACTGGAGCTTAGTACAAACGTGATTAGCCTTCCACCCTCCTACGAGCAGTGAGCGTAGGGTGTACATCAGCACAAATCATCGGCCGACTCATCCACAAGTCAAACCGTCAGGTTAACCCCAACTTTAGTGCCTCACATGGAATTCAATTAATGAAGACTGTAAATAAATGCTGCAGAGAAGCTTGGATCAGTCTCTTATGCTTCCATGTGATGTCCCCAGCTTATTACCTGCTCAAGGCCTGTGCATGATTGGTAGCTCCTATTACTTTATGCATTGTTTTCCAGCACTTCTGTATTAAATGTACCCTCAGAAAAGGCTTGCAGGTGGGGTAAAGGCAAGTTTCCTGCAGGTTTTACAACACTACATAACTTATCATGCTCTGGACCTTCCCAAACTACAGACTGTTGGTTGTATCTGGCAGCATGCTGTAGCATATTTAATTTAATCGACGGCTTTTTGCTGTTATCGTTATTAGATGACTTATAACAAACATAACAGGATCTTATTTCCCTTTAGGATAGAGACTCTGCTGCTGTGCTAAACTATGTTAGTTTACTCATTCAATTATTTTGCTCCTGCTTTGGCCCGAATTTCCCCTCTAGAGATCAATAAAGTATTATCTTATCTTACTTTAACATGGTACAACAACCCACCTATACACTTTGATTTATTAGTTCAGTGCTCTGACATTTTATTGACAAGTGTGTTTTACCACATATCTTTATTAAATAACGGTACATATTTCTAGTTTTCTTCCATCACTTTTTATCTGGAAATTGAATCAGTGATATCTGTAGGCTTTTTTGTGTGCGCGCGTGTGTGTGTGGTACACACATCACTTTTTTTTAATCAACTGCTAACACCTTCAGGTACAGAAGTAGTCCCATAATACTTAGTCTTAATTCTTATTCTGTTGTAATTGTTGGTTTTCTCGATTTTGATTAATTCCCTTGTATCTGAAATTTCAGGGTTTTTCTTTTTAAGTAAAAGAAAATTTGATTCTTAATTTCAACAAACATAATAAATGTCTCTGGATGATTTGCAGCTCACGTCCTTCAGTATTTATATATTGATCTTCCAGTCTTGATGAGAACCCTTTTTCTTTTAGGCTGAAAAAGTAATTGAGTCTTTGTATTGAAGGAGTTTTTCCCAAGGTGTTATTGTCAATAATGACCAAAAATCTTTGCAACACATTCAGTTGCAATTATTTTATAGCTGCAGATGAACTCAGTTGAATGCACTAAAAACATTGTTCGGTTCATTGTCTGAAACAACATCAGTAATGCAATACATCAGCACAGGGGATATTTTGGCTTCCCTTTGTACACTAGGACAAGGAGGCGACGCATCATTAATCTTTGCATACAGTTGTTTACGTCAGTTGTTGCTCTACACATGATTTTATGTCATAATAAGGCATGATGATTTATATATATATGTTTTTACATTTGATATGTTTTTACATATTTATTTAAAGGATGATTATCATATCAAGTCTATACATTAACCTTGTGACTGACTTGTGATGTGTTCTCACCTAATATGAGCTGTGTTAGCCTCTCTCACCCCTCCGCACTGACAGGATGTAGGTGTTGTTAATGGGCGGATGGATTACAGATGCAATATAAGCGCTTCCCTGAGGAGCGCAGCCTGTGATGTATCCCCTCTCTATGCTGCCTTGGCATTAAAGAGACAGCAGCTATCCAGAGTAATTAAGCTTCAGTAACAACAGCACCTGTAACCTCTTTTTTCTCAGAGAAGAAGCACAACATCTGTAGCAAAGTAAACAAGAAGCCAACCCCGAGGCAGGAGCAGTCTGTCTGTAAGAAAACCTAATTGGGAACATGAATAATGGTGTAAACTCTGCGTTACCTCCAACAAAAAATGTGTACAGAGAGGATAATGAAAGGACAAAAAAATTAAATCTGACAACATATCACTTTTTCAGGAAGGTATGTCTGAGGATACCACAGTTAAAGGCAGGGTTGGTAATTTCTCCAGATAAACTTTTAAAGATTTTGGTTGAAATTGTCTTTCGGTCCTGACAGACATTAATAACTCATGTGCTCTGAAAAAGGAACAAAGAAGTGAGGGGGCGTGGCTTTTGAGGGAACACAAAGGGAATGCTACTTTCAAAATCATGCTTGTTTTTACAAATGACCAACCCTGCCTTTAAAGTGTAATAAAGAGAAGTTACAGGGACATAAGCAGCATGTTTCTTCATCAATATTTCATTTATTGTTGTATTATTATATAGTCTTCAAAATGACGTGGTCATATATCGCATGAACTGTTCAAATAAGAACATTTAATAATTAAACTGGAATTGACATGGCCCTGTTTACAGGCCTCTGTCCATCAAATGTTTAGTTCGGCTCAGGTATAAAAGATACATAACTCTCCTCATGATTTGAAAAATGACTCACAGAAATCAAAGCACTTCTGCTCCAATCTGCAATCCTCATCAAATCCTCACAGTGCCAAAGTCTGTCATTGGTATTCTGGTCATAAGAGAGCGAGAGCCAGTTCCATGTTATATCCAATACCAGGATTTAAATGTTTTCCTTTTTTATTATCCACTAACCATTGTGAGTCATTCTGCAGATCAGGATGTGATATATTAGTAGGTACAGTATGTGGAGGACAGACAGCTATCTATTAATAGAAGGTTTTTTCTATTTTATTTTCTATTATAGTTTTTTATTGTTTTATATCATCATTTTGGAAATGTAGTTGCTTCCAAAAAATAATTGCTCCATTTTCAGAGAAAGATCTACAAAATAAGAGGGCTTAGCTTTATTTTCCCTTTTTCACCAGTGATGGTTCCTAAAGAAACTCAGCTTTCCTCAAAGATTGAAATGAGGAGACTGACGTTAGTCTTGTGTCTGTGCATTCATTACAGCACAACACCGAGGAAAAGGGAAACAGGTTGTAGCAGCCCTCGACCAAGACAACATATAAGGAAGCGTGGAGTTCGACCGATGCAATTTATTTATTTCGTTTCGAGCACCGTGAAACTAGAAAAAACAAAAATAAAGCCAAAATAAACAGTGAGTTCAAGTCATTACAGATATATAAATATTTACAATTAATTCATTAATTCCTAAACAAACTTTTCACAGTGCAACATTTTACTTTAAACAAACACAAACAATAACATCCACATCACAACAGGCCTGATTCACACACAGCGCATCA